TTTATAAATAAATAATTAATAAACAATTTTTTATTGTGTTAATATTTAAGCACTAATTGAGCACTAAATTTTAGGGTATTGATAAATATTTTGTTGTGATTTTTGACGTGTCTGTCGTAATGGTGCGGTTGGCGGATTAGTCACTCAATCGAAAAAAAAATTTTTTTAAATAAATAATTAATTAAAAAATTTTTTATTTTGTTAATCTTTGAGCACTAATTGAGCACTAAATAATAGGCTATCGATAAATATTTTGTTGGTGTTTTTATTGCGTTTTTCGTTATGGTCTGGCTAACGGATTACTCACTCATTCAAAAAAATTTTTTTTTTTTAAATAAATAATTAATAAAAAAATTTTTTATTTTGTTAATCTTTGAGCACTAATTGAGCACTAAATAATAGGCTATTTATAAATATTCTGTTGGCGTTTTTAAAGCGTTTTTCGTTATGGTCCGGCCAGCGGAACGTTCACTCAGCAGAACCATTGTTTTTTTTAAATAAACATTGAGCACTAAATTCGGCAATATGGTACAAAAATAGCACTAATTGAGCACTAATTAATGGTATAATTTAAATTCATTTTTATAAAAGTGGTTCGGCCAGCTTCACAGACCTATGAGAAAATATTTTTCCCTCTAAATCGTTGATTATAAAAGTTGCGAACTTCATCGACGTTGAAATTAATACTAAAATACATTTAAAAATAGTGAATAAATATTTTTACATTGAATAAAAATGAATATTATAAAGAAACAATAAGTATGGAAATATAAAATGAAAATACTATAAAACAAAATTGGATAATAGAAAGAAATAAAAATTCTCTAAAGGAAAATTGAAAATAGAGGAAAATAAAAATATATAGTCATTAGAAATAAAAATAACGATGAAAACTAGAAATACAAAATGAATAATACAGCGAAAATATTAATTGAATATTTTTTTTATTATTACCATCGCAGTTTTTATTTTGAAAAAATAGAGTTTTTCTTTTTTAGAAAAATTATTTTGTACAAAAATTGAAGAGCTTTTTTGTCTGATTCTTGTTGAACTATTATAATTATAAAGCGCGATATTCATTTGAAATGAATATCCTATAATTAATATATATTTTTTGAAAAAAATATAGACTTTAAAAAATATACGTCTTTAAAAAATATTCTTTTTAAAAAATATACATTTTTTTAAAAAAATACATTTTCAAAAAAAATACTTTTTAAAAAAATACATTTTTAAAAAATATACTTTTTAAAAAATATACATTTTAAAAAAATATACTTTTTAAGAAATATACGTTTAAAAAAAAATACTTTTTAAAAAATATACTTTTTAAAAAATATACATTTTAAAAAAATAGACTTTTTAAAAAATATACATTGAAAAAAATACTTTTTTAAAAATATACATTTAAAAAAAATGTACGTTTGAAAAAATATTTATTTTATAAAAATATACTTTTTAAAAAATAATAGTTTAAAAAAAATATTTTTTAAAAATATTTTCTTTTTTCAAAAAATAAATATTATATATATTATTCATTGTACAGAATTGTACACTGAAAATATGTACATTAATTACATCTTTAAAAGTACTAATTATTATTTTATTGTTTTCCTACATATAAACTAATATTTTCTATATTGTATACTAAATGCTAGTTTAAATAATTAATTTGTTAAAATTTTCATTAGATAGTAAAAATATTCTTTTCTATTATCCTTGTGCGCATTTTTAAATAAAAATTTAATATTCATTAGTTTATGCATAATATAATGTGTATACATATATATATTGGCAACAAAGGAAAATTTGAAAATCAATATAGAACCCTGTCAATATATTTCACATTAAAATGCAAATATTACTTTGTAATGCAGTTCACGTACAGTTCATAATAATTTTCCACTTTAAACTTGTTGCACAATAATAAATTTGAATTTTTTAAGGACATAAAGTATCGGAAAATTGTTATTAGTTTTTAATGTTTTAATTTTTTTTGCTACTATCGTATCATAATAGGCTCACTAAATTTGAATTTGTATAAATGTTTATTAATTTGAATTAGTGATTGACTTTTTGTTTTTGAATTAGTAAATTTTAATAATAAATAGTCATTAGAAGAAAGTAGTAGAAATTACTATTTATTAGTAAAATTTACTAATAATAAATAGTCATTAGAAGAAATTAGTAGAAATTACTGTTTATTAGTAAAATTTACTAATTCAAGAGCAAAAAGTCAACCACTAATTAAAATTAATAAACATTTTTAGTTTTTACTGATTTAAATTTAGAGAGTGGTAGAAAAAAAAATAAAATCGTTAATTTGAATTAAATTTGAAGTTTCGTTTCTACGTAGTGATAATTTTCTTTTTTTCACAAAAAAATATACAGTTCTATATTTGAAGACCTAGTGATTTCTTAATTATTTATAAATTATATATATTATGAACTATTGATCGTTTTGCTAGAAGGTATAATAAATATGTAGCTGTACACTTTGTATATAAATTAAAAGATTCTTGACGAATAAGGTCGTAAATCGTATTAATTATTTAAACATGAATGCCATTTGCAAATTGTCTTTTTTTAAAAAGTCATCTATAAATACTAATTATAAGTCACAATGTTGGTTTACAATAATTCTTCTTTTTTTTTCTTTTAAACGCATTGATACAATACGTTAAGGCGGAAGCTACGTTAAATATTATTAATTTGTATGTATTTTATTATTAAAAATATAATTTATGTTAATTGTATATTTTATCACTCAAAACTGAATATAATTTATTTAATATTTGGTATTGGAAATTCAAGTCAATATTTAAATTAATTGTGCTTTTAAAGTTTCCGAAGTTCAATTGAACGATGATACTTTTGTTACTTATTTTATTTTCTATTTTTTTATTTTACAATTTTGAATCATTTATTTATCATTCGATTTTATTCAGAGTGAACTTTGAAAAATATTTAATCGGAAAATAAATTTCGTTCATTTGAACGTTCAGAAGTTTAGGAAAATAATGTTGATAATTTTAATTGATGTTGGTAATTAAAATGTAATTAAATTGAATCAAATAATTACTTAAATAGAAGTAAAATTGAAATTATTAATTTAATTAGATATTTATTTGTTTGTTAAAATAGTAGAATATTTTCTTTTAATTAAATTGGACTATAAATGGAACAAATTAGATAATTAATATTTGGTCAAGAATTTATTGATTCGTCAATTAATAATTTTGTTTATTCAAACAATTTCTTAATCAATCGTTATTAATTTAAAGCTGACAAATTTATTATTTTTTAATTATTTAAATTATTTAAATTATTTAATTCAATAAATTAACATTCAATAGAGTCAACACGCGTCAACCGTGAATAGTGAATATTTCCGAGATATTTGCATTATTTTAGAAAAAAATTAATAACTCATTACTGTTTTGCTAGAAATTAATGGCAATTTTTTTGGTAGTCATTGAATATCCACTCTTTTAAATAAACTTAATAGTGAAAAAAAATTTTGAAAAATTTTTAATTTTTAATAACAATTTTATAAACAATTAGTGTTTTTTATGCTTTCTAGAGCAAGGATTTTAATGAAATTTATATGTAAGATACATTGAACCTACATCTTTATATTCCCGAAAAAAAAAATTTGTATTTCCAATTACAACCGGAGATTTTGAATTTTTTGTTGCGCCGTGCGCCGTCATCGTGGCATCCATCGCTGTGATAAATGCCGCGGTAAACGAGCAGACTGCGCACGGCGCAACAAAAAATTCAAAATCTCCGGTTGTAATTGGAAATACAAAATTTTTTTTTCGGGAATATAAAGATGTAGGTTCAATGTATCTTACATATAAATTTCATTAAAATCCTTGCTCTAGAAAGCATAAAAAACACTAATTGTTTATAAAATTGTTATTAAAAATTAAAAATTTTTCAAAATTTTTTTTCACCATTAAGTTTATTTAAAAGAGTGGATATTCAATGACTACCAAAAAAATTGCCATTAATTTCTAGCAAAACAGTAATGAGTTATTAATTTTTTTCTAAAATAATGCAAAAATTTTTTATTATAAAAAAAGGTATAAATATTTAAAAATTTGAAAAACGGTTAAAAGTGTTTTTTTGGTTTGCTGTGAACTACAGATTTTCATAAATGTTTTGACTTTTCCAAAACTATAAAAAAAATGTATTCACGGTTGACGCGTTTTGACTCAATAATTATTTAATTAAATAAATTTATATTAAATGGTTATTTAATTGAATAAATTAATATTAAATAAGTATTTTAATTATTTGAATATTTATTAACCTTTTAATTTAATTTGAAATTTAATAAATAAAGGATCTCGGACGTTAAAGATTATTTAACTAAGGAATTTAATAAAATTAATATAAAACAATTATTAATTTGTTAATTGAAGTAAAATTAAATTAGTTTCAGTATGAGATAAAATTTACAATCGTTTAACAATGATTATATTTTTAGAAAACTGTTTTTCAAGCACCTTGGTGATTTTGTTATTTTCTATTTTTGCTATTCTTTATTTATAATTACTACTTAGAAATCTGATGAATTTAATTATTTAACTCTTTATATACTTTAATTTAAGTATATATATTATTTATTATACTAATACTATTTATTTAACCAAATCTTAAGACAGGATGACAATTTCTTTTTTTATTGAAAAAATTCGTATAGTATTAAAAATTTCAAATAGAAAAATACTTTCTTTTTGTTAAAATATAACTAATTTTTTTTCACTTTTATATAAATTGTTTCTTCTAAGAATATTTAATTTTTTTTTTTCATGAACATTATCAATTAGTTTTAACTGATTCAAAATTAGGGAATATTTAATGATCCTAAAGTTCTGAACGTTCAAACGAAAGAATATTTATTTTTCTTTTGCTCTAATGACAAAAATTAATTCTAAAGTTTCTAAATATGAAATTATCAAATTTTAGGTACATTTAGAAACTGGATTTTTTTAAATGTTTTAATTTTTTAGCAATTAGTAATTTAATAAATTTAATTAATTTAATAACTCGGTGAAAAATATTTCGTTCATTTGAATATTAATAACTTGTGGACCGTAAAATATTAATACATGTACGGAAATAATTCTCGTTAGATTCTAATCCTCATTTTCATGACATCAATGATTAAGGAATGAAAAAAGGTGAAGGAGGGTAAAATAAAATTAGGAATAAAATGTCAGTACTGATGAATGATTACCGCGAACCAGTAAAAATGGTGGCATATCACGTGTTAATGTTTCAAGCCATGCCATATAGAGTGCTGCTGAAACTGCCCCCTTCCTTGGCATTGGTAATGTCCTAAAAATTGGAACAAAAAAAAAAAATTCGTTTAGTCTAACATATAGTTTGAATTAATAATATAATAAATAGTTAATTATTAATTAATATATTAATATATAGTTAATTTTTAAAATAATTTTAATTATTTTTATTCCTAATTTTAATAAAGTCCACTCACATAACAACTAAATTAGATTCCATGGAATTTTCAAGAAGTAATTCACGTAAACGTAGATGTCTATTCGTTTTGTCCTTCATTGCCAGCAATTCCGAGTCTTTTATAATATCTATACACAAGGGAACAAAAGGATTTTCAATTTTTTTTTTCTAGAAAAGAAAAAAGCAGAAAAGAAATTTCCATATTTACTTACCCGCTTCTGTTAATCGTGAATTAGCCGGATTACAAAAGTCCACAATTAGTGAGTCGAAAAAGTTTTTCGTTCCAGTCTGAGCTGGTTTGTTAATATCCGAAATAACTTTTAAAGCTGAGTAATCTATTCTGAACTTTGAGAGAAGACTCGCCATGCTGTTTAAGAAGAAGTTTTTTATTAGTAATTTTTTTTCGCATCGTTTGTTCGAAATGCTCTTTTGAAACGTAGTCCTTTTTCTATCTAATTTATTTTATACTAATTTATTTTATCTAATTTATTTTATCTAATTTATTTTATCTAATTTATTTTATCTAATTTATTTGAATCAGTAAAATTTTAATGATTCAAATTTAGACTGGCATTAGTTATTTGGTACTTATTTGTTATTATGGTACTGGACTACTGGTGTTAGTTATTTGTTATTCAAAATTCGATTATTGGAAATTTTGGCTTACTTCCGTTGCTCGTATTCAAGTTCCGAGTGCTTGTTGGATAAGGCAAATACTCTTAATTTGCTGTTTGACCAATTTCTTCTGGTGCTTATGATGTAGGGTAGTAGGAGTGTCAGACCACCGTCGTCATACAACCACCAAACGTCTATTGTTCCTTTTTTCTGCTTCCTCTGGAATCGTGTAACTGCATCCAAAATATCTTTCGATATCGTCGCATTTTGCTTGTTCTCTGCACGTACTTCCACTGTTGGATTCGGAAATTCGTTTACTTTATTGGCTCGATTTGGCGTTGGACTTCCTGAGACAGACATGTCCGAAACACTGCTCGCTGAAAAGGGTATAAAGTTAAGTACTGCTCTCTCGAAAGTGAAAACCTAGTAGTCGCATTTGCCATTTGATTATCGGCCTTATGGAAAATAGGCTTTTAGGTTTTTACTTTGGATAACAGAGTAATTAAAGGATAAAGTATAAAAGTACGGAGGAATGGAAAGTACGAAGTCTTGATCTCGGTCTTGATGAAATACTCGATGAATACTTGATGAAATACTCGAGAAATACTCGAGAAATATGTAATAAATTTGTCATACCTTGACTCAATTGTGAGAAACTTTGATTTCCCCTAATAGTTGGAAGAATCGTTCGCCTATGTTCCTCGACATCTTCCATAACTGCACTGAAATCTAATCCTTCGGAGACTCTTAGTAGCGCCACTGCAATATGCATGTCTAGTGCTTTGCTGCAAAACAAACATAAAATTTCTGTAAATTGGGTAATAATTCAATTATTGATATTGAAAAATTCTTCAGGTTTACTCACTGCATCACATTAAAGTACATGTTCAGATTTTCCAAAGGACAAGTGGACCAGTCTTGCTTATAACCCATTAGTAGTATGTTCGGTTTGAGTTTTCCGATTCCGGATGTCTGCAACAATGATATTGCACCGTCCTGAAAATTCGCACCATCCACGAGTGAATAGAAGGCTTTTATTTTGTTTGTCCTGAACCAAGATGTGGCCATCATTGACATTGTTGCTCGGGTCTTGTAGGATAAAGAGCTCTGAAAATTTGAGAGAAAAGGATTATAATATTAAAGTATTAGAGTTGTTTTAGTACAGGTACTTTTTGTATTAAATATCTGTAGATAAATATTCGTAATATGAATCCGTAGAGAATTCGAAAGATGATGGAAATTACTTGTATGATGTCTCCACAAATAAGTAGACTTTGGTTTTTTGTAATGTGATACGCGAAATCGACGAAAGAGGATCTTGAACTTGGCGAACCACTGAGAAGCAGAATTTGTGGTCTGTAATTTTTCACGTGCTCTTCAACTCTGTCGAGTTGTTGTATTGCCGTTAGGGCATTGTTGTAAGTTTGCGCCTGTGTTGTCGAGCCCCAATTGACATCTGGAAAAATTAAATATATTTGTGTAATATCCGCGAGAAAAGCGACAGTTTTCTTTAGGGTAAATAAAACACAAGTTAATTTCTGTTTCTGCAGACTTTTCTGCACAGTATGCAGCATAGTAATGAATACTTTGCGGCATACTATGCAGAAAAGTGTACTATTCATTACTCTGCTACAAAACTATGCAGAATACTTTTCTGCAGTAATATAGTACAACTATGCTATACAGTAACATAGTACAACTATGCTACAGTAACATAGTACAACTATGTTGAGTACTTTTCTGCATAGTTTGCAGCAGAGTACTGTTTCATATTCCAATTATCATAACTATCATTTTAACGCAGCGAATGATTAGCCACAAATTTTTGTTATGAAGAAAGAAATCTTTAATTACCAGGTTTTCGATAAGCCACAACAAGATACAGGGCCATGACCACGAATAGAGTAATTAATGCCGTCCACCAAGAAATTAGGAACATTACAATCACACAAAGAATTGCTCCAGCGAGACTCAGCCACATATTGTAATACTGTGGAGAAAATAATTATCATTATTGCTGTTAGTGATAATAAAAATTATTTATGAATATTTATTCCACTAGCATGAGATGATACCTTGAAAGTCGGACGCCATCCGATCGGTTTGGCAAGACTGGCATGAAATGTACTAAAATTAACAAGAGTGTAGGCAGCCAGGAAGAAATTTGAAATTAGCGGTGCAATGATGTCCAGTTGACCTGTAAATAAATTTTGTTTATTTCCTTTTGAATCATCAATGAATCTTTTTAGAGAAGATATTATTTCTCTACTTTTTTCGTTCGTTTGAACATTCGGAACTTTATGGACATAGGAATTATTCCTAACTTTATGGGCATAGTTCCTATGTTATGGACATTTATTCCTATGTTCATTAAGTTAGGAATCAATCTTCCAATGACCATTAAGATAGGAATTAATATTTCTATGTTCATTAAGTTAGGAAGCAATCTTCCAATGTCCGTTAAGTTAGAAATCAATCTTCAAATGACCATTAAGTTAGGAATCAATATTCCTATGTCTATTAAGTTAGGAATTAATATTCCTTTCTCCATAAAGTTGGAAATCAATATTCTTATGTTCACAAGGTTCATATTTACCGATTAGAATAAAAGCAACGGCTATGACAAATGTGAGACAATATCCTCGAACAGGTTCCTTTCCTTTCTTTCCACTGAACCATGCAATGCCTGGATATAAATTATCCAAACATAGTGCTTGAAATACTTTAGGCGCAGAAACCAGAGAAGCAAGGGCACTTGAAATTGTTGCTGCAAAGCAACCCGCGTAAATAAAGGGGCCAAATGCAGAAACTAATTCTATCACCTAAAAAAGTAATTGTCAATTATCAGTTTAAATTATCCAACAAAATAAAAAAATCATAAGAGCTAGTGCAATACAATTAATGTAAATTTATTAAAAGCTTTTTTTGTGCAATTCGTTATGAATTCAATGAATGAATTTGCAGATGCATGTTATTGCAGTAGCTCCGACGAAACATTTAATTAATTTAATTAAATAAATTATTGGATAATAACTATTAAGATAGTAAATTTTATGGAATGGAGCATTTACTTGAAAACTGTTGTGGGTACCATATGGACAATTTGGCGGAGTACAATTGAAAGCAGTACCGTAGATACTCCAATTCTTCTCGGGAATACTTTCGAAGTAGGTTTCATTTTCAATGCTCGTTTGATTTTCTAAACCTCCTATTGATCTCAGAATGGAACTATTGTAAATGTTAAATAAATCCATAATATTTCCTGAAGCGTCACGCATAACTGAACCACCTACCATGATTGCTATTAGAAGATAGGAGAAGGTTGTTAAAAGAATAGCCAATAGGGTTCCTTTTGGTATCGCTGATTGTGGATCCTGTTGGGAAATTTGATTTCAATTTAGTTATACTTTAATAAAATTTGTTTCCAATATAGTTTCTTTGCTTAAAATTTCAGATTTTAGTTCTTTCGTTTGTTTGATTTGAATTTAGTTTTCTCTTTTAAAAAAGATTGGAATTTAGTTTCCTTGTTTAAAATTTGAGGTTCAAGTTTCTTTGATTAACGAGAAAATATGTTTTGAATTGAAATTTGAGGTTTTTAAGATAGTTCCTAATTAGATAATAATTAATTTCTAAATATATTTGTCAACTTTTGTGACACTGATTTTCATATTCGAAACATTAAAGGTGTTCCATGTCGATGAAAAGACTATAAATCACCTTTAAGTCCCCGGATATATTCGCACCTGCCAGAATTCCTGTGGCCGCGGGGAAGAAAATGGCAAGGACTGAAAAAAAATCGTGACTCTGTCCATCCTTTGGCCTATAGTTGGGCAAAAAGTTTTCCTTGAAGAGATTGACTGAAAAGAAAATATTAATTAGAATTTCTCGATTGTAACTATTTTTAATAGTCTATTATCTATTGCTATCGTAATTACTATCGTTAATAAACTATCGTAACAGAATTGTTTCTTACGATCATATCCAATGAATCCTTTCGCTCTTTCTTCGTCATTTTTCGGTCCAATGAATGTGCCAATTAAAAAATCGGCTATTGCTAGGAGGAGAATTATCAGAAGGCCAATTTGTGCTTTCGCCTCCCACTCCATTCCGATAATAACGATTGCAAGCAGAACCGCTATTGTTATCACTCCTAAAATTTGTGAAATTTAAATTTATATTAATTTATTTATTCAATTTAATTCATGGTTGCCACAGTTTAATTAAATTAATTTTGATGACTCAAATAATTATTAGAATTGTTCTAGTAATATTTTAGGCCCAGGAACAAATTTTTTGACTCACGATTAACAACTGTTAACAAACAATAAAAAATAATTTTTCATCTTCTGCTGATTATCGGCTGTGGTTACTTTTTATGAATTGTGAATTAAATTAATTTTGATGACCCAGATATTAATTGGAATTGTTCTAACAGTAGTTTGAGACCAGTAATTAATTTTTTTTTGAGTTTAAAAAAATTTCTGAAATTTTGCCTGTGTTTAAAGATTTTTAAGAAAATTTTAACTTAAAAATAAAAAATGTTTTTATCTCATTGCCATATAAAAATGTAAATTAAAGAAGTTAGTTTATTTATTTTTTGATTTTGAAAAAAATTACCAATTATCCTAATATCTGCATTACTGCAGTCGATAATGCAGGAATTGTAACGTTTTAGAAGATCTACCAGACTTTCACAAAAGCCAACCACGTACATTGCACACGCAACGGCATTTGCAATTGAAAAAATTATTCCTATCGATCCGCCAAACTCTGGTCCTAAGGATCTAGAAATCATATAATACGTTCCTCCTGTAATTAAAAATAAACTTTAATAGTTATATAATAATTAATTAATTAAATTTATCGCGGAAAAATAAAATTAATCACGAATAATTCTAAAAGTTCTGAAAGTTCAGATGAACGAAATTTATTTATTTTTTCTTCAAATTAAATTTCTATTACAATAATTTTGCGTCATTATCAAAATAATTAAGTAACAATTAATTATGGACGAAATTTATAAATTTCTTCTTCAAATTAAATTTTTATTACAATAAACTGTTTTTTAATACTTGACCCAAAATTATTGTAATAAAATTTTGATTTGAAAAAGAGATAAAATTCATTTGAATGTTTAAAGCTTTAGGGACATTAAAAAATTTTTAAATTTGAAATAATTTAAATTAATTTAATTTGAATTAAAAATTCAAATGTTTATGAAAATTAGGTCAATAAATAATTTCTTTATTCAAAAAAAAAAGAAGAAAGTGTTAATAAAAAAATATTTAAAATATTTCGACGAAGAGTCAAGTTTAATTACCTCCTTTAATGAGACCATTCGTGCTGATTGCTGACATGGACAGTGATGTAATTACTGTTACCATTGTTGTTGTCAATATCAACACAATTGATTGTCCTAAAAATAAAATTCATATGTTAATTAAGGCAACATTTTTTTTTATTTAAATTAAAAATTTATTAATTAAAAAAATTTTTGTTACAAAAATTTCAACTTTGAAATTTTTTCTAACTGTTTTTTATTTTATATTTTTTTTTTTTTTTTGCTCTACTTTGAAATGTAGGTAAATTCAAACTTTTACCTATTCCTGCTTCTGCAACGACCCATGAGAGTCGCAGAAACAGCATTACACCCCAAATATTGAGTAAACATCTTAGAAGCACTCCTTGAATCCAACCAAATTTTATTCCCCTTTCTGCATTTTTTAAATCAACTAATGGCAATGTGTTACTCCTTGCACTCTGGAAATGAAAATTTGAAAATTAATTAATTTTTTTCTTTTAATTTCGTTCATTTTTAGCTAATTTTGCAATTGTTTTTATTTACTGATTATTGCTATTTATTATTTTTAGATATTTATTTCAATATAAATGGGACTTGTCTTTTCGTACAAAAGTAGTTGTTTTATTATTATTATTTTTATTTTTATTAATAATATTTTTATTAATTATTTATTTACTTAACACAGGCGGGCAAAATAATAATAATTATTATATTAAAGGTGGTGAATTAAAATTAAAATTAAATTTATTGAAATTTAAATTCATCCTAAATTTAAAAATAATAATTATTATTATTATCAAATGTTTAATAACTTATTGTGATATATTTGTTAGTATTAATTAAAGACTCGAGTTTTTTTTTTGCAAATCCTGTTTGCAAGTTAATTAACAATTTTTTTTTATTATGAAAAGAAAAATAGAATTACAAAAAAACAAAGAGGAACTAAAGTAATAATAAATGTCAAAATATTGATTTAAAACGTTGATAAAGTGTGGGATTTAATTAAACTTGCGGATATATATCATTCTCTTTTTGTTTATTGCGCATTAAATATCATTTTGCACAAGTATAATAATTTCTACAAATTTACGATAATACATTTTGAATGTATAAATGTTGACGTATTTTTAAAATTCTAATTTTTGTTTTATATATAATTATCATAATTGTTATACTATTCGAATTTTGTCATTTACTATTAATTTTTTTATAATAGATGTAAATGTTTTTTAAGCTTTTAATTATTTATCATTAGTTCCTATTTTTTTATTTACTGTTAATTTTTTACCACTTATTATTTACTATTTCTATTTTGACATTTACTATTACCGCGTTTTACTATTTTCAAAATTTTACTATTTTACTATTTTTTACCTACTATTCCTCTTTTGCTTTTGCTTTAATCAACTAGATTTTTTTGTGTAAAGAATTAACTATTTTCAAACTAAATATTTTTGTTTGTAATATTTTTTAAAATTTGTTTTTTATTTCAGTTATTTTTTTAAACAAATTTTGTCTTGTTAAAAATGAGAAAATGGAAAAAAAAACGTAATAATATTAAATTAACAACAACAAGAATAATAATAATAATAATAATAATAATAATAATAATTATTATTATTATTATTATTATTATTATTATTATTATTAGGTATTATTATTATTATTACAGTAATAATAATTTTATGAATTTTATTAATTTCAATAATTTTAATATAATTATAATTTCACAATTGTTCAAACTTTCACTGCATTTTTATCAAAAGATTGCAGGTGACTTTATTGAGGAAGGGTTCATAAGAGACCAATAAAGAATAACGATTTATGTAATAGTGCCCGGAATATCAAATGTTCTCTTCACATTTGAACATTAGTTTAGATCCAAGTACAAATTCTGTCAATTCGTATCCTTGAATTATATTAACAATATTCTTAATTTCTTAATATTCAAAAATTATTACAAACAAAAATATTTAGTTGAAAATATTTAATTTTTTTATACAAAAAAAATCTCGTTGATTAAAGCAAAAGAGGAGTAGTAAGTAAAAAAAATAATAAAATAGTAAAATAGTAACAGTAAATAGTAATAACAAAAAAGCACTAACTCATTTTCCGAGACTTAATTTAATTTAAAAACCCAAAGGCCATAAAAATAGTTAGCAATAAAAATTGTACACTCGTTGTTTTAATTAAAAAATTTTCGACAATAAAAATTCTAACATTTGATTATGTAATCCATTTGATTAAATGTAAAAATGTAAAAATTTTGAGTCTATTGCAAAGATTTTCTTCTTCCTCTTAATAATAATAATTTTCAACATGATTATAATAAATTATTGTCGTTAATTGTCTGAAAGTGTTTTGCATCGTTACAATTCATTATTGTGGACCGAAATGAAGATGAGTTGATTCACTTTTATATCTTATGTATGTATGTATATATGCACATATATAAGACGAGAGCAATTTTCAGTTACATGATTGCTAAATGCTGGGGCTGACAATGATTGTTATAATTCAAATAAATTGTCAGCCTTTGGAGGAACTTATAGCGCCATTGTGTTACAATTTATTGGTTTTCATATTTACCGAGCATATTAATTATTCGAGTTAAGTTGAATTGATATCGATTCAAAATTACTATTGTCTTTCACTTTTAACAATTTATTATCTTTTAATTCTGATTACATCGACTTTATAATACATTTTTTGTAAATAATTTCATTTTTAATATTTTTATATAATCCTTTTTACTCACCCAGAGAAAAATTTTATTTAAACCAAATATATTTTATTTGAATTAAATATTTTTCTCAGAGTCAACTAAGTTATTTATTTGGTTTAAAGAAAATTTCTATAAGACATGAAACTTTTTTTTGAACAAAATAAATTTTTATTTGAACAAAATAAAATTTTATTTAAACTAAATAAAATTTATTTCAAACGAATAAAAAGTCTAATTGGCTCTGAGTCAAATATATTTTTTATCTATAATAGGTACAATATAAATAAATATTTATTGATATAATTTAATAATTTAATAACAACGTATATTGATATCTAATCTATATTAAACAATATTGGAATAAAAGTCATTTATAGACTTTAATCACTTCCGTATTTTTTATAGAAACTTATCAAAACCAAATTATTTTTATATTAATACATATTATAAATTATATTTCAATAAAACAGTTATTTGATATTCTTGATATAATAATTCCGGAAAAAAATATTTTTCAATAAAAATAGCACGTTAATTATAATATTTCAAAAAATTTTAATTATCGAAGGTTTTATTTATCCAAATAAATTATATTTGGTTCGAATAAAATTTTTCTCTGGATGAATAATTTAAAATTATTTATAAAAAGAAACTTATTTATAGAAAATAATTAATGATAGAGCAAAATTATTTAGAGAGAAAAAATTATTTACAGAGAAAATTATTCATAGGAAAAATTATTTGTAGAAAATAATTATTTATAGAGAAAATTATTTGTAGAGAATAATTATTTGCAGAGAATAATTATTTGTAGAGAATAATTTTTTACGAAAAAAATTATTCATAGAGAAAAATTATTATTTACAGAGAAAATTATTCATAGAAAAAATTATTTGTAGAGAATAATTATTTATAGAGAAAATTATTTACGAAGAAGATTATTCATAGAGAAGAATTATTATTATCGAGGAGAATAATTTTTTTTTATAAGTGATGATGAATTCTTTTTTTTTTTTTTTTTTTTTTTTTTTTTTGGTGTGTATATTTGAAAATTTCATTTGTCACGATATTTTGCAACCGAAATATTAGTCACCATCATGGTCGCGTTAACGATTTAATTAGTTTCATGTACGTGAAGGTCTAAAATTCGACCCGACCTGATCAACTCCTCTTGACTAACTCTGGGAGTCTTCTTGTTAAAAATTTATTAATCTTTTTATAGTATAATATTAAAATGGCATTAGTCATTCAATCTTTATTAAAAGCAAAGTTCAAACGTCGAACTTATTTATTTACAACTATTTTTTAAGACGAAAAGAAGTGTTCTCAATTTGATATATAGAATATTTATTTAAAAATAATAATAATAATAATAATTATCATTTGTTTATAATTTCTATTAATAGTCTTTTATTCAACCTTGTGCATTTACAGTATCAAACGAAATGTCTAAGAAAAAAAGGGGGAAAAAAGATTCTTAACGTCCAGAGAATCTAGTGTTATCGCTATACAAGGTCTGTTCAATTATTTTCTATAATCCTTTCCTTTAGTAAGTTGGAGAAAATGAGGTGGTTGGAATACTTCAATAATGAATCATTAATTTCAAGAATTTTTTTTTATTTTGTTTAATTAGAATTAAATTAAGTTTGGTATTTTTTTTTGTTTAATTATTAGAGTAAAATTTATTTTGTTCCTCATTTTGTTTAATTAGAGTGAAATTTATTGTTGTTTCTAATTTTGTTTAATTAAAATAAGAATTTTGAATTTATTTTAATTAATATTCATTTTTTTTTATTTATTTTAATTTTGAATAAGAATTTGTTCAATTAGAGTAAAATTTTTTTGTTTCTAATTTTGTTTAATTAGAGTAAAATTTATTTTGTTTCTAATTTTTTTTAAATTAAAATATGAAATTAATTTTGAAACAAAATTTGTTTAATTATTAGAGTAAAATAAAATTTGTTTCTAATTTGGTTTAATTAAAATAGGAAATTGATTTTATTTTACTTTTAATTTTGTTTAATTAAAATAAAATTGCTTTTATTTTTAATTTCTTTAATTAAAATAAAATATAGATTTCTTTTTTAATTTAAAGAACTTGAAAAAAATTCTGGAAAATATTGATTGTTTGTGAATATTACTAAAAAGAGTGTTTTTTTAATAATCGAATTAACGAAAAGTGAACTTTCTCAATTTATTTCAATTTTTCAATTATTTGAAAATTTTTTTTCATGAGTTCCGATAACTAAAGTTTTATATTTGAAATTTTTTTTGAATATTTTATATATCTGCTTTTTCATATATTTTTAAATCGTAGTTTGCTTTTCCTGAAAAATAAAGTTTAGTCCGTGAGAAACGAAAAAGATAATAGTGAAAAGTTAAAAATTTTGTTATCTAATCTTCAACAAATTAAAAGGTAGCAGTTATTGATAAATTCAAATTAAAAATTGGGTAAAGAGAGAAAAATATTGATGAAGAAGGAAAAAAAAGAAAAGAAGAAAAAATAGAAAGGTAAAAAAGAAAGGAAAGAACAAAAGGAAAAAAAAGAAAAACATAAATGAAAGAAAGAAAAGAAAAAAGAAAAGAAAGAAAAGAGAAAGGGAGGTAGAGAGAGAGGGAGAAAATAAAAAAATAAAAAACAAAAATATTTTTGAAGAAACTAAAAAATTTGTAAACAATTATTCATTTGAATGATAAGCTTCGTTTTTTATTGTTATTTCACACGTCATCTCGCATAAAAATGTTTGTTAACGAAAACTTTTTTCAACTGTTTCCTTTTTTTTATTGCCTTATTCTCTCGTACTCTTGATAAAGTAGTCATATTTTTATGAAGTGATAAAGTTTTGTTTCTCAAGGGGATTTCTATTTTTTCTTCCACCTTTTACATATATGCTCTCCTCGAAAAAGTATTTCAGTATAGAAATTTAAAAAAAAAGAAAATAATAATAAAAATAATACGTACATATAGTACGCCATAAATTATATCTAATCTACCTTCTCATAAACACGTTAACTGTTAAAACAGTGATTTTTTCATTTTTAATGATTTAAATGCTTCTTTAGACATACATTTAACGATAATCAACCCAACCGGTAGTTAGATTGCAGGTATTTATTTTTTTACTCTCAAAATGTAAACCGTTTTAAAATGAATTGTTTAAATTAAAATTTGAATTAAAAAAATTGGAAATTAAATAAAAATTTGTTAAATTAAAATTAAGAATAAACGAAAATGAGTGAACATTAAATAAAAATTAAATGAAAATTATTAAAATTAAAAATAAATGAAAATGAGTGGAAATTAAATGAAAATAAATGAAAATTAAACGAAAATTGTTATAAATTATATTTAGAAGTATATTTCCGTTTATATATAGAATCAAGTGGTGTAATTAAATAATTATACAGTCAATCTCTATTATTTATTATCTTTCACGAGATATTCTTGGAGTTTTTCTCTGCGTGTTAAAAAAAAATTGTTATACCTTATTTAAAAGTGTTGGATTGTGAAGTTCGTCTAGAGATGGCCTGTGGGCAACTTGAATACTTAAAATGTTTCTATAATTATCGAGTCTTGGTAAAGCTTCCCTTGTCATATATTTTAAGGATTTTCTTGTTTCCTGTTCGGCTAGGAGACTTGCTCGTCCTTCCATACTGTCTACACGATTAACATGAAATCTTGTTCTTCTCAGTTGATTTAATTCAACGTCCTCCAGGTCTATGTCTCTCGATCTTCCGTTTTCGAAAGCCATGGTGCTTTTTTTTATTTCTTACTGCAAAGAAAAAATTCTATGAGGAAAATAACAAAAAAATTCATGTCCCTAAAGATTTAAGTGAATGATAATTTTTATTACTTCTTCACCTAGAAAAAAAATATATTTGACTCAGATTAGCTCTGAAGTAAAATTGAACTTTAAAAAAACTAAACAATTTCTTTGCTTCAAATAAATTTTATTTGGTTCAATTAGAAATTTTAATTGTGACGTGTAAAATTTTTATTTGAAACAAATAAATAATTTAATAGGCTCTGAGAAAAATATAAGTTTATTTAACTGAAATAAAAAATTGTATTTGGTTCAAGTAGACCTTTTTTTAAGCCAACGAATTTTATTTGGTTCAAAAAAACTTTATTTGGTTAGAATAGAACTTGTTATGCGCCACGATATGTTATTTGGTTCAAAATAAAATTTTATTTGGTTCAAATAGAATTTTTTGTACGTTAAAAAGTTTTATTTGGTCAAAAAAACTTTATTTGGTTAAAAAATAACTTTATTTGGTTAGAATAGAACTTGTTATGCGCCACAAAATGTTATTTGGTTCAAACAAAATCTGTTTAGTTTAAGTAGGAATTTCTTTTACGTTATAAAATTTTATTTGGTTTAAAAAATATTATTCGGTTCTTGATAAACTATAATATTCGTATATAATATAACTTCGGTTTTTGATAAACTATATTTTGTTCAAATTAAAGTTTCATTTGGTTTAAATACAATTTTATTTGGTTCAAAAAGAATTTTTTTTACGTTAAAAAATTTTATTTGGTCAAAAAAACTTTATTTGGTTCAAAAAATCTTTATTTGTTGAAAAATAACTTTATTTGGTTAGAATAGAACTTGTTATGCGCCACAAAATGTTAATTGGTTAAAAATAAAATTTTATTTGGTTCAAGCAAAATCTGTTTGGTTCAAATAGGAATTTTTTTTACGTTATAAAATTTTATTTGGTTTAAAAAATATTATTCGGTTCTGATAAACTTTATTTTGTTCAAAATAAAGTTTCATTTGGTTTAAATACAATTTTATTTGGAAAAAAAATATATTTGACTCAGATTAGCTCTGGAGTAAAATTAAAAATTAAACTTTAAAATTTGGTTCAAATAGAATTTCTTTTACACCCAGAGAAATGGTATATTTGTCTCAGAACCAACTAGACTTTTTATTTGTTTGAAATAAATTTTATTTGGTTTAAATAAAATTTTATTTATCTCAAATATATGTTTTATTTATGTCGAATAAAATTTTTATTTGAAAGAAATAAAAAGTCTAGTTGGTTCTGAGACAAATATACGTTTATTTAATTCAAATAAAATATATTTGGTTTATAATATTTTTCTCTGGGTGTACGTTAAAAAATTTTATTCGTTTCAAAAATATTATTTGGTTCCAGTAAACTTTTTTTTTGTTCAAAATAAAGTTTCATTTGGTTTAAATACAATTTTATTTGGTTCGAATAGAATTTCTTTTACGTTAAAAAATTGTATTCGTTTCAAAAATATTATTTGGTTCCAATAAACTTTATTTTTGTTCAAAATAATAAAATTTCATTCGGTTCAAATAAGTTCTATTTGAACCAAATTTTATTTGGTTCAAATAGATATTATTTAAACCAAATGAAATAGAACTTTTTTTACATTTAAAAATTTTGTTTAGTTCCAATAAATTTTATTTTGTTCAAAATAAAATTTCATTTGGTTCAAATAAACATTATTTGGTTTGATTATTTTTTTATTACTAATTGAATAATTCTTTTAATATATTAATTAAAAAATCCTTTTTTATGGAAAGAAGAAATTTAATAGAAAAAATTCGCTTTGTATTTAATTAAAAAATAATGGGATTTCAGTGAATGATAAAAATTAAAATAAATAAAATTAATTTCGAAATTAATGTATAGTAATCAATTTTTTTTATATGGGGCACACGGTGTCTTATTTCAATATGTACTTAGTGGATTTAATATATACTTAGTTTGAAACATAATCTTATTGTGTAGAAAAATTTGATGTCAAGTTATTAATAATAACACAGGTGTAATAGTATCTTCTCTTTTGCAATTTATAAATTAGAAATAGTTGTTTTTAGTAAATTTTTATTTTAGTTTTAGTTAGTTTATCAGTTTATTAATTAATATCAAATAATAATTACCTATTTAATAAAAAAATAATAATAGTTTATATTTTTACTATGTTAATCATTTTATTTATTTATTTATTTATTTATCGAATAGGCCTTTAAATTTTTAACTTTATTTATTAATCACTTTATATTTGTATTTATTTATTTATTTATTTATTCAAAAGTCAAAAACTATTGTATTATTACAAAAGTATTTAAATTATATATTTCCTTTTTTATCCAATACTTTTTTCATTTAATTTTTTTATGTTATATAATTTACAGATATTATATACTTAAAAAAAAGTACTGATAGTTACAATTTCTGTCTTTCGTTTATATCATTTTTTATGACACCGATTGTTATAAGAAGTACCCTTTGCCTTGAAACAATTAATGAATAACGACTGCGTGGGTTATCAATTATGAAATTATTCTTAATGACAATTTCCACACATAATTAAAAATGTCAGTTCTTCATAATATTACCAAAATTTTTTTTTTTTTTTTGATTTTTTTAAATGGTTATTTTTATTGAAAAAAATTTGTTTAAGAACTCTTTTGTTTCATTATTTTTAATTTTGTTATATTGCTTTTATTATTGTAGTCTTTTTATTAATAATAATAATCACAATCATAATACTCATAAAAATAATAATAATAATAATAATAATGATAATAATCACAATTATAATAATCATAAAAATCATAATGATAATGATAATAATAATAATAATAATAATAATAATAATAATAATAATAATAAAAATAAAAATAATAATTATACTAACAATAATAAAAGAATATTTTTCTTCTTTTTCATGTTTCGTTTTATGTGCTTGAATATGTAAAAAGTTGTTACCTTTAATGTAATCTTGAAAAAATTTTTATGTGTAAATATTTATACATATGGCGCGAATATTCATTGAATTATTCTTTTTTACTTGATTATTAGTTTTTTAATGAATAATGTAATTGGAGCTTCGTGTGAAGATAGAAATCGTCTTTTCTTCCGGTTAAGAGAGAACTTTCCTCATTTTACATGTGACATATGCGAAACATTAACTATTTTTTTACATGACATGATTTTTTTATCTACATTATTATTATTATTTTTATTATTAAAATTTTTTGATTTTTAAAATTTTTAATATTAGTAAAATTATTATTATTGTTATTATTTAGGTTTATTATTATTATTATTATATTTATTTTAAAGAATTATGTTTATTCAAAAGAAAAAAGAATTTTATTTTAACGGCTATTTTTGAAAGTAAAAATATTCTTACAAAAATGAAAGAAATGTTTCAAAAATTTAATATTTGCTCTGGGTTCTAAATTTTCTCGTAACGCACCTGAATTGACAGAATTCTCCAAGTTTCCGCATTGTGCAAATTTAAAACCTTTTATTTTGCAAAATTAGAAAATTTTTTTTTTAACAAAATAGTAGTTTTTTTAAAACAAACTAAAATATTTGCTTATTACTAGACTTTATTTATTAAAATCGGTTAATTAGAAAAATATTTTTGAATTTCTTTAAACATTTCTTTTATTTTTTAACAATATTTTCTATCTATTATTAAGTTTTTTGTTCAGTATTCAAATTTTTTATTATTTTATTTTTTTTTATTTTACTTTTATGGGTTTATGAAAATTTTTTAAAAAACAATTTTTACTTTTAACCATAAAATTTTGTTACCAAAAAAAAATTTGTTTAAGAAATAAACCCATTTTTCTATTAATAGAAGTAATTATACTCATTATTTAAATATTTTTCTATTAGTCATTTTGATAATTTCTTTTTCAAAGATTAAAAATTTCCATTTAAAATATTTTTTGCGTGTGAAAAATTTTCAGAAAAGATAAATTTAAAATTAATTTTCCACCGATAACTAATTTTTCTTGTTAAAATTATTCAGTCAGTTCTTTGGTAGGTAAATTATTCACTCTTATCAAAATGAAATTTTCTCCTTTCGCATATAAAATTCCATGAAAATTATCTGGCAAAATTCCAAGAAGAATAAAAAATATTTCTATAAAGAATTCGTTGATGGGGGGCGAAGGGAATATCAATATAAAATTTACCTGATAATTTCGAATTTTTTCTCCAACTTTTTCTAAAGAAAAATAAATTCCACTTGATTATTTTCTCAGTTTTCCATTGTAACCCATTGTGTGATTATCAATCAGTCCTTGATTGGAACAAGTTTTAAATAAGGCATCTGTTACCCTGTAAAACCAGAAATCACTTCCTGTTTTTTGGGGCGAAAAAAAAGTTTTTTTAAACTGAACACTTTACACTATTTTCTTTTTAGTTTTAGTATTTTTTTTCTCCTAATATTTTGTTGGTTAATTTAAATATTTGTTGTAATGCTAAATTAGGAGAAAATGAATTTTGAGTAGCAGGAGAAATATCACAGAGACCAAATTTTTTTTTATTCTCGTCGGCTATACAGCCGGCTTTTTATTTTACACACAGAGCACGCTGTTTTATTCTAAGAGAGAAAGCACACGTGCTTTGGTGATAATATAATTTTTTTGCGCGTGCGTATAAATATTTTTGCCTTTCGAATTTACATTGAGAACAAGAAATTAATGCAGAGAAAAATAATAGCAAAAAACAAAAAAATAATAATAAAATAAAAATGATTCTTAACCAAACGGTTTTGTTAAACCGGCACGTGTGACCTTTATGAAAGCCCGATTTCCACTGACGAGGATTGCACAATCTCCTCGCATATAACGGCGCATATACACACGTCCACCGATTCCTATTATAGAGGAGTTGGTGTGCACATTCACATATTTAAACTGAAAGAGAATTTAAAGAAGTATTCACGGCTTTTGTGTGTAAAACTTGAATGGTGAGCGTTCATCCACATGGAATGCACGTGGTTTTTTTTTTTTTTTTTTTTCGGGAGTATTGAAAACAGCGTCCTCCTTTGGTGCCTTAGAAAACGATTCTTCGTTCCATTTGGAAATCATCCCTTTTTTGTCGTTGTGTGCGTAGAAGACCCCTTTTTTTCATCGAGGGACTTGTATCATATGATTGTCTTGGTTTTTTTTTTCTTCTAGACTTTAGTGGATACCTATATAGAGAAATTCTATTGTTTGAACAAAAAAAATTTTTTTTGGGAATTGTATACAATTTGGAGAAAGAGGAAAGTGGGCGGTTAGTTGAATGTGAAAATACAAATGACTCATTTTGAGACTCGTGGATATTTTCACCCTGAATGTAACCACCTTCTGCTGTTTCCTAACATACCCTATGGAAAAATCGATCCTTAAGGGTGTCTACTACCATTAGCGTAACGTATATATTTTTTTGATGGGTATGAAAGAAATCTGTCATTAGTGAGAAAGAAAGAAAAAAAACAAAAGAAATAAGGTTTTTTTTATTTTCTATTGAAAGTAATTATTTGTAATTACATGTAAAAAAAAGATAAATTTGACTCAGATGCGACTGAACTTTTTCGTTTGTTCAACAAAAAATTTCATTTGGTTCAAATAAATTTTATTTGGTTCAAATAGAACCTTTTTTTTGTTTTAATAAACATTATATAGTTGAAATAAAATTTTTTTTGCTACAAATAGGAATTTATGTTACGTTTAAAAATGTTATTTGATTCAAAAAAATATTATTTGGTTCAAGAAAGTTTTATTTGGTTCAGGTTGAATTTTTTAAAACTACACAAATTTTTTTTCGTTTAAATAAGACTTTTTTCGGGACAAAAAAATTTATTTGATTCCATTAAACTTTATTTGGTTCAAATAGAACTTTATTTTAGGCCCAAAACATTTATTTGGTTGAAATAATATTATATTTGGTTAAAATAAAACTTTCTGTTAGGCCAAAAATATTTATTTGGTTCAAATAAAATTATATTTGGTTCAAATAAATTTTATTTGGTTCAAATAATTTTTATTTGGTTGAAACAAATTTTATTTGGGTCAAATAAATTTTATTTAGTTCAAATAGAACCTTCTTTTTTTGTTTTAATAAATATTATTTAGTTCAAAATGTTCAAATAAAATTTTATTTGTTACAAACAGAAATTTAGTTTACGTTTAAAAATGTTATTTAATTCAAAAAAATATTATTTGGTTCAAGAAAGTTTTACTTGGTTCAAGTTGAATTTTTTAAAGCCAACAAATTTTTTTTCGTGTAAATAGGACTTTTTTCGGGACAAAAAAATTTTATTTGGTTCCAATAAACTTTATTTGGTTCAAAATAAAATTTCACTAGGTTGAAAAAAACATTAATTTGGTTAAAAATAAAAATAATATTCGGTTAAAATAAATTTTATTTCGTTTAAATCAATTTTATTTGGTTTAAATAGAACCTTCTTTTTTTGTTTTAATAAACATTATTTAGTTCAAATAAAATTTTATTTGGTTCAAATAGGAATCTTGTCAGGCCAAAAAAATTGTATTTGATCAAAAAAATATTATTTGGTTCCAATAAACATTTTTTTGTTCAAAATAAAATTTCATTTGGTTTAAAAACAATTTTATTTGGTTCAAATAGAACTTTTTTCAGGACAAAAAAATTTTATTTGGTTTAAATAAACATTATTTGGTTTAAGTAGAATTTTTTTTTACCAGCAAATTTTATTTGGTTCAAATAGGAATCTTTTCAGGACAAAAAAATTGTATTTGATCAAAAAAATATTATTTGATTCAAATAAACTTTGTTTGGTTCAAAATAAAATTTTATTAGGTGGAAATAACTTTATTTGGTACAAATTAAAGTGTTTTTAGACCAACAAATTTTATTTTGTTTAAACAGGAGTTTTCTCAGGACAGAAAAAATTGAATTTGGTCAAATAAATATTATTTGGTTCCAATAAACATTTTTTTTGTTCAAAATAAAATTTCATTTGTTTTAAACTTTAAATAGAACTTTTTTCAAGACAAAAAAATTTTATTTGGTGTAAATAAACATTATTTGGTTCAAGTAGAACTTTTTTTAGACCAACAAATTTTATTTGGTTCAAATAGTAATCTTTTCAGTCCAAAAAAATTGTATTGGATCAAAAAAATATTATTTGGTTCAAATAAACTCTGTTTGGTTCAAAATAAAATTTTATTAGATTGAAAATAAAACTTTATTTCGTGCAAATTGAACTGTTTTTAGACCAACAAATTTTATTAGGTTCAAATAGGACTTTTTTCAGTCCGAAAAAATTGTATTTTGTCAAAAAAATATTATTTGGTTCCAATAAACATTTTTTTGTTCAAAATAAAATTTCATTTGGTATAAATACAATTTTATTTGGTTCAAATTGATTTCTTTTTCAGTCCACCAATTTTATTTGGTTCAAATAGACCTTTTTGCAGGAGAAAAAAAAATTTATTTGGTTTAAATAAACGTTATTTGGTTCAAGTAGAACTTTGTTTTATTCAAAGTAAAATTTCGTTTGGTTTAAATGAACATTATTTGGTTCTAATTGGACATTTTTTAGTTTAAATAAAATTTTATTTGGTTCAAATAAACTTTTTTTGGTTAAAATAGAAATTTTTCTTTAATTTGGTTCTTACAAACATTATTTGGTTGAAATAAAATTTTATTCGGTCCAAATAGGAATTTCTTTTACCATTAAAAATGTTATTTGGTTTAAAAGAATATTCTTTGGTTCCAATAAACTTTATTTTGCCCAAAATAAAATTTTATTAGGTTTTCAAATAGAACATTTTTACGCTAAAGAATTTTCATTTGGTTAAAAAAAATTGTGTTTGGTTCAAAAAAATATTATTTTGTTCACATAAACTTCATTTGTTTCAAAATTAAAAATTCATTTAGTTCAAAGAGAAATTTTATTCCTGATGAATAAAATTTTTTTTTAAAACCAATAAATAATTTCGTAGATTTAGTAGATTATGGGCAATTTATTTTTAAATTCTACATAAAACAACGAATAAATAATATTAGAAAAAAAACTGTATAATTTCCAAAGTAGATTTTACTATTTCAGAAATCAATTTCACTGGAATTGTAGTAAAATTTTATTTTAGTTGAATTTTATTACTTTGGAAGTAGTAAAATTTAAATTTACTAAACTGTTTAGGATTTTTTTGAGCCAATTCTATTAATTAATTTAATTTCATTGCATGTAAATTTTAGAGTCTTAAACGTTGTAAAATTTAACTTTAAAGAAATCAAAACATTTCGGAAGTAAATTATTGTCTTTTCAGAAGATTATACGCTGAGTATGCCGATTTTATAATCTGCAAAATAAAATTAAAATTATAATTTTTCATTTCTGAAGAGTAGTCCACTTTTGTTAAAATTAATAAAAATGTCAAATTAATGCAAATAAAATATGAAATATAGAAAAAATACCAACTTTCATGAATGTATCAATTGACATGGTGACAAATGATGCACCTGTTAATTGAATAGGTCTCGTCGATCGTATCATTATCGTTATAAGATTTTTCTTCGTTCTTATTGTTAGTCCACACCAGTTTAGAAAATAAATTGCTGTCCCTATTTCTGAACTCTGTTGTCATATTATATTGGAAATTTTAATTAATTAAAATATTGAATTTTCAAAAATTTATTTTTTTACTTTATTTTTTCAGTCTTTTATTTTTTACTTTATTTTTTTTGGTCTTTTATTTTTTACTTTATTTTTTTCAGTCTTTTATTTTATGTTACTTTTTTTCTGGATTAAAATCATTTTGGTGTGAGAAAAGTGGGAAATTTTCATTTATTTTATTTAATAAGGTTATTTGAAGAGAGAAACAAACCTTTTCCATAACTTTGTCGCCGTAAAAACAATAAATAAAAATTTGAAATGTGTAACTTCCGACGGAAAAAAACATTATCCAGTATGTTCTACTGGTTACGCTTAATTTCGCTAAACTGAATATTATAGCGCAAAGGTTGATCATTGAAGCGAAAAATTGAGTGAAAATCACAAGGCCAAATTGTTTATTCAAATTATTTCCCAATCTGCGAAAAACATTTTTACGAATTTTAGTCTCACTTTTCGGCTGTAGATTTCTTTTTCAAAAAATAAATAAATACAGCGAAAAAAATTTAATTAAAATAACCGATTCCTTGTCTCCTATCAAATAAATATTTACATGAATCAAATAATTTTTGATTAAGGCAAGTAAATTGTATTTGAAGTAAATAATTTTTATTTAAATTAAATAAATTGTGATTTGAACCAAATAATTTTTATTTAAATTAAATACATTGTATTTGAACCAAATAATTTTTATTTAAATTAAATAAATTGTATTTGAACCAAATAGTTTTTTATTTAAATTAAGTAAATTGTATTTTTTGAACCAATAAATTCTGTATTTGAAGGAAATACCATTTAATTGGTTCAAATAAAAAATTATTTGATTCAAGTAAATTTTTATTTGACAATAGACAAGTAATCAGTTATTTGAATCAAATAAAAATTTTTCTAATGTATGAAAATAAAATAAGTAAAATAAATAAGCTTGCCAACTCACTATAAATATTCTCATTGTCGTACTGAGAAAAAAAATGCTGATAAAAAAATAATTCAGCAATTAACTTACGAATAGACAAAAAGATGATGTTTTACGCAACGTTTAGTGAGTTCTGCTTCCCGATAATCTGATTTCACATAATTTTTTTCACACAATTCAGGAATTAAATTTAAACGATGAATAATTATTTCCAATTGTCCGCAAATTTGTAAAGACATTGTCAGTGCTAAACTTTCCATGGCAACTGAAATTGTCACTGTCATAATAATGCCAATTGATTGATGCAAATATGATAAAGAAAATACGAGTTTTGAATCATCCAAAGAATATGGTAACCAAGTTGGTAGCGGAAGTGTTGTAACATTCCTCGATGCCAAGGGTACCAGGTACATTGCAAATCCATTCACATGAACCATAATGAAAAATAAAATTGTATTTCGTCTGTAATTTTTGAACAAAATTTGTACATATATAATTATTTTTATAATAGATAAAAAATTATTACTTTTGGTTATTTTAGTTATTTACAGTTATTTTCATAAGGATATCAAATTGAGACAGAAAACATATCAAAATTGTTGCGATGCAACAATTTTAATATGTTTTCTGTCTAAATTTGATATTTTTAGAGAATCTGAGTTTATAATTCCAGTCTTCGTACTCGACAATTATCATTATTATTATTATTATTATTATTATTATTATTATTATTATTATTATTATTATTATTATTATTATTATTATTATTATTATTATTATTATTATTATTATTATTATTATTATTATTATTATTATTATTATTATTATTATTCAATTAATTTTAAAAATTATAAAAAAAATTATTAAAAAAAAAATTTTTTTTAAAAAGCAGTAAAAAGTAGCCTTAAGACAGAAAAAAGTAGTTAAAAAGAAACTATCGAATAATATTAAATTTGACGACTCGATTTCTACATGATTTCTAAATTAAATTACATTCAAAAAATGAATAATTTTTGGTAAATGAATATTTATTTATTGTTTCATAGGAATTAAAATATTAAACAAATTTTTAATGTAAAGCCTTCTTGAATTTTAACTATTTCTAAAAATTACAACTGTAATTCTTCCAAAATTCAATTAATTTCTTGTTGAAATTTTGAAATAAAATTATTCAAAACTTTAATCATTTTATTTCAATATAAAAATTTAAATATTATTACAGTTTTACAACCATTAAAATTTTCAAAGATTTTAATTTTAAAATCGTTTGGAATTTAATTATTTCTGAAAATTCACACAATAATGCTTCTAATATTCAATTATCTAAAATTTTAACTGAAATTCAATTCAAAATCAATTGTTATTGAGAAAGTTCTACGAGAATTCAATAATTTAATTATACAAAAATAAATAATTTATTGAATAATTGAATATTATTGAAAAGATTTTTATAAGAATTTGTTATATATGTGAAAAATTTTATTATTTGTAAAAATATTTGTATTTTTTCAAAGAATTTTGATGAAATTTTGAAATATAATAACATTTTTTCAGGAATTTATTTAAAATGGTTTTAAAGAATTGAAATCCAGCGATAAGTTTTATTATTTATTTTGCAACGAATTTTATTAAAAATTATGAAAATAATGGAATTTTTGGGAAGAATTTTAATTAAATTTTTTTCAAATAATTGAATTTCTAAGTAAATTTTTATTATGAATGAAAATAATTAAATAATTCTTATGAAGGATTCAAATAAATTTTTTTTAAATAATTGCATTTTTCAAGGAATTAGTTTAAGATTGTATTAAAAATAATTGAAATCCGGCGATAAATTTTATTATTTATATGAAAATAATTGAATTCCTGAGAAGAATTTTATTATTTATAAAAATAATTGAATTTCCGTGAAAAATTTTATTATTTTTCAAAATAATTGAATTCTTTCGAAGAATTTGAATAAAATTTTTAAGAAATTCTATTCAAATTATATTAAAAATAATTAAATTTAATTAAAGAATTTTATAACTTATGAAAATAATTGAATTCTTGCAACGAATTTTATTAAAATTTTTCTTTAAATAGTTGAATTCTATTGGAAAATTTTTTATTGAAATTAAATTAAATTAAATTAAAATTAAATTAATAATTAAAATTATTAAAATTAAAATATAATAATTGAATTTCGAAAATGTTTTGAAAATAATTGAATCATTGAAAGAATTTAATTAAAAGTTTAATTGTTTCTAAGAATTGTATTAAAATTTTTGAAAATAATTTTTTTTTATTTCAACTATTAGCGAATTTAAATTAGTACAATTCTCAAACATAGAAAAAAGTAGTTTTTAGTTACACGAATTGAAGAAAACGTATCTAATAATTAGTAGCAAATCGTAAAAAAATTAATAAATAGTAGTTTTTATGAAATGAGTACGAAGCATGTAAACTTTAAATTAGTTTTAATTAATTTTGAATTAATTAGTTATAATTTTTATTCTTTTTGTTTATTTTTATTGAGTTTATAACTTACCGTCCTATGCGAGAAGATTCTTGCAGTATCGCAATTTCTTTATCGTCTAAAGGCTGACAAATTTCGGATAAAAACATTTCATTCGATTCTATAAATACTTGACGTGTACGAAATAATAGAGCGAGTTTGATTAGAGCCGTAAGGAAAGTGCAGCAGTAGAAAATACTTTGTATCAAATTCTCGATACTTTCGTGAGTTTGAAACACTGATACAACAAATGTAATGTTGAATAAAATATATATTATTATGGTGAAAAGCGAATAAATATGATAAAAAAATATTTTTCTATGCGATTTACAATTAACAGGCCGCCAGAAGCCAAAAAATTGAAACATTGCGTATGAAAATTCACCCAAGTATAAAGCAGACATTTTTTCCATACAATTCTTTTTCTTTCTTTACTTTTTTTTTATTTTGGTTGTAAATTTCTTTTTCGATAATTAAAAAGTTAGATTAAAAAAATATACTTTGTGAAGATAGTTGAAATTTATAGAAACCGATCATTTGAACTCAAATTGTTCGTGACTTTTATTTTTATACAATTTGTTTCTATAAAATCTATCGGAGAATTATTTGAGAGAAAAGGAATTATTTGAGAGAAAGAAAAATTATATTTGAAGGGCAAATTTCACTGATTCAGTTTTAGAGAGTATTGTCGGTTAATTAGTATTGTTGGCTGTAAATTAGGATCTAGTAAAATTTTGGAAAAATTTCTTCAACAATTTTGTCAATGAAACTTAAAATTGAAAAAAATGTTTTAATCTTCTTTTAATATGTTTTAATAGTAAAAATAATTTCTTATTATCTTCTCTTAATATCTTTTAATAATAAAAATAATTTCTTATTATCTTCTCTCAACGAATAGACACAAAAGAATATTTGATCCCTTTTTCAGAACACTTTCAAAAACCTTCTCTTTCTTATAAGCAATTGTCTCTATTTTTAACATTTGTTAAAGATCAGCAAAAAAAAAAAAAAAAATTTAACTAGCAACAAAGTTATCGACTCTATTTATTCGCATTGAGTACTCTTTGGCATTTGGTAAAAGAGACAAAAATGAGAAATAAGAGCTTTGTTATTAATAATTAATTCAGAAAGTCTTCTTCAAGAGATATTGCATTGTTGCGTTTTTACTCTATTATTAGGAATTGATTTGTCCATTATAGAAAATAGTTTGTCGCAAAAAAATATTTACAAAGAAAGGAATATATTTCTTTTGACGTTTGCATATTAGAAAAAGTTGGCTTCGCAAAATGTTGCAAACCTGTAATTTAACTCTTTTCTTTTTGTCTCCGTTTGTCACAAAGTATTGGATAAAAATATATCAAAACGATTATTAGCATATTTTTCTTCATATTTTTATCTTGAAACATGTGGTTCGATATTGTCCCTAATAGTATGTAATTTTTTGACACATTAATATGTAAAAAGTTCTTGCGCAGATGAAAGAAGTGTGTTCAGTCTTGTCTTGACTTTCGTTCTGTTTAGAGATGAGGATTTTTTTTTCTTTTTATTTGAAAAATTATCACTATTACTGACACTAAAATAAAATGTGTGGTATTTAAAAAAATATGCAAATTTTTTATTTTAATTCTGTTTCAGTAAATTTTAATCTTGTTTTAGGCTATTTTAATTCTGTTTTCGTCAATTTTAATCAGAATGTCTACTATTTTCGTTCAACAAAATTCCCGGCTTTGTCATAATTTTTCTCGGTTTTTTTTTCTCATAAAATTTAAATTTACTTGATTTCGAACATAAATAAATCTACAAACGGCTTCCAAATTTTTTATTAGAGTTTTTATGAATAATTAAATTCTTTTGACGAGTTTCTTTAAACTTTTTTAAAATAATGTTTTTTTTAATAATTTTAATTAAAAATTTGAAAAATAATTGAATTTATTAAAATTATCTTGAATATAATTGAATTTTTTCCAAGAAATTTTATTAAAATTGTATTGAAAATAATTTAATTTCTCATAAGAATTTTATTATTTACAAGAATAATTGAATTTTTGCTAAGAATTTTACAAGTTTATAAAAAGAATTGACTTGTTTCGAAGAATTTTATCAGAATTGTTGAAAATAATTGAATTTTTATTGAAACTCTTGAAAATAATTGAAGGTGAATAATATTTTTAAAAATAATTGTATTCTGTCGAGAAATTTGATTAAAATTGTATTAAAAATAATTGAATTTCTCCGAAACATTTTATTATTCATGAAAATAATTGAATTCCTTTGAAGAATTTTATTACTTACAAAAATATTTTAATTCTTGCAAAGAATTTTCTTATTTATAAAAATAATTGAATTCTTGCAGAGGATTTTACTATTCATCAAAATAATTGAATTTCTGCGAAGAATTTTATTACTTTTGAAAATAATTGAATTGTTTTTTAGAATTTTATGGAAATTTATGAAAATAATTGAATTCTTGTGAAGAATATTTTTTTAAAAATAATATTCAAATGAATTTAGTAAATCTGAAGAATTTTTCTATTTTTTATGGAAATAATTGAATTATTGAGAAGATTTTTTTTTAGTTTCTAGAAATAATTGAACTTTTTCGACGAATTTTAATAAAATTTTTAAGAATAATTACATTTTTCGAGGAATTCGATTAAAATTGCATTAAAAATTATTAAAATTCTGCAATGAGTTTTACTATTTCTGAAAATAATTTAATATATTGCGAAGAAATTTTTAAAAATAAAATTATAATTACGGTGACTAACTTCCCTTGATTATTTTCGAGAAATTTTAATAAAATTCTTTAAAAGAATTTAATTATTTTTAATAAAATGTAAAAAAATTTCAATTATGTCAAAAGTTTTCAATTATTTGTTTATAAAAATTCAATTATCTTGAAACAAAAGAATTGAAAAATTTCAAAAATCTTATTTTTCAGAATTTTTAAAAAACTTTGCGAAAATTCAATTTTATTAAAACAGTTAAACTGTGTATATTATTTTTAATTAACTACTAAAAATTTTAATTTAAAAAAATAATAAAACTTTTTTTAATTTGGTGAAAAAATTTCCGGTTTGTTATAAATATTTTAATTTTCTTCATTTCGTAGTGCAGTTTGTTATCAAAAATTATTATTTCCAGAGTAAATTTTACAACTTCTATAATGTAAATTTTTCTTCGCACATAGTGAAAGTTATTCTGGAAATAATTTTTAACAGTAAATTTTACTATATTTTTTGAGGAAATTTTACCAAGGCCGAAGTAAATTTTACTAACGTTTTATTTACTAAATCCTACAAAGAGCAATAATTAAATAATGTTTACAAATCTTTATTACTTTTTACCACTATTTTTCCTAAAATTGTTTTTAGAAAATTCTTCGGAAGTAAATTATTGTCTTTTCAGAAGATTATATGCAGAATAAGCTGATTTTATAATCTGTAGAATAAAATAAAAAAAAAACACAGTAAAATAAATTTTTTTTTTAAATTGAAGAATAATTTTATTGAAATATCGAAAAGCAATACCAACTTTCATGAATGTATCAATTGACATGGTGACAAATGATGCACCTGTTAATTGAATAGGTCTCGTCGATCGTATCATTATCGTTATAAGATTTTTCTTCGTTCTTATTGTTAGTTCACACCAGTTTAGAAAATAAATTGCTGTCCCTATTTCTGAACTCTGTTATCAATATAAATATTTACAAGTTCAGTAAATTATTAAACTTTTATTAAAAATAAATTATTAACTAAATTTTATTTGTTACAAATAAATTTTCTTTTTTAATTCAGCCAAATATTATTTATTTGAAACAAATAAAATTTAATTAATAATTTATTTGAAACAAATAATATTTAATTAATAATTTATTTGAAAAAAAAAATTAAAATTCATAAATTATTCAATAAGAAAGTTCCTTTTGAAATATTCACTGAAAAAAAATTTATTTGATTCAAATAACTTTTTCTTATCACTTACGAGATACCTACATACCTTTTCCGTAACTTTGTCGCCGTAGAAACAATAGATAAAAATCTGAAATGTATAACTTCCAACGGAAGAAACCATTATCCAGTATGTTCTATTGTTTGAGCTTAATTTGCCTAAATTAAATATTATAGCGCAAAGGTTAATCATAGAGGCAAAAAATTGAATAAAAATCACTGGACCAAATTGTTTGTTCAAATTCTCCCCTAATCTGTAAAAAAGAAAATGTTATTTAATTATAATCTTCGTTTAGATTCAGTGCGAGTGGAAAATAAAAGTATATATTTGTCACAGGGTCTACTAAATTATTTATTTGAACTAACATTTTTTTTTTTGGGTTAAATAAAATTTTTATAACCCGAATGTACTTTATTTGAATCGAATATAATTAATTTGATCCAAATATAATTTATTTTAAATAAATACAATTTTTTGAGCCGAATATAATTTATTTACTTGAGCAAAATATAATATAATGATGCAAATATAATTTATTTGAAACAAATACAATTTTTTTGAGACAATACAATTTTTGGAAGACAAATATAATTTATTTGAAAAAAATACAATTTTTTTGAGCCAAATGTAAGTTTTGGGAGGAAAATACAATTTTTTGAGCTAAATATAATTTTTCCAGCCAAATATAATTTCGTTGAAATAAATAAATATTTTAGAAGATTTTTTTTTCTGGGTGTACTTTCTAAAGATTAATTCTTAATAAAAAAAAATAATAATAATAATAACTTACGAATATACATAAAGATGGTGTTCTATGCAACGTTTAGTGAGCTCTGCTTCCTGCTCGTACAAATCTGCCTTGAAATTATTTTTATTTTCATACAATTCGGGAATTAAGTTCAAACGGTGAATAATTATTTCCAGTTGACCGCAAATTTGTAGTGAGATGGTTAGAGCCAAACTCTCCATGGCTATTGAAATTGTCACTGTCATAAAAATGCCAAGTGACTGATGCAAATATGACAAGGAGAATACGAGACTTGACTCTAGAGAATATGGTAACCATGTTGGTAGCGGAAGTGATGTGACATTATTAAATACCAAAGGCGCCATGAACATTGCAAATCCCGTCATATGCACCATAATGAAAAATAAAATTGTATTTCGCCTAGAATTTTTTTTGCAAACAATAATTTATGAATATTTTTATTTCTAGTATTTCTTTTAGCTGAGCTAAAAATATTTTAACTTATACTGAAGAAAAAGTTTATTTGATTCAAATAACCGTATCCTTGTCTGTTATCAAATAAATATTTCTTTAATTTACTTTTTTTATTTTCTTTTATATTTTTTATTAATTATTTAATTCTTTAATTTATTCATTTATTTATTTCTATTTAATTCTTTTATTTTATTTGTTTGTTTGTTTTCTCATTCGAAACTTTATGTTTTCTCAAAACGGAAATATTTATTATTTATATTGTTTTTATTTCAATTTGATTATTAAATATTAATAATTCGATTATTAAATTTTATTTAAATCAAATAATTTGTACTTGAACCAATAATTTTAGTATTTTCAGGGCTCGTATTGTGCGACTTTTTCGACTTTTCTTAGGAAAGTGACTTTTTTTCTACTTTTTTGTGAAAAAATGCGACTAATCGACTTTTTCGAGATTTTTTTTCTTAGTAAAATGCGAATAATCGACTTTTTTCACATTTTTCTTTTACTTTTCGACTTAAATTGTAAATAACGGAAATCTTTTTTTTTTTTTGTAAACAATATTATTCACAAAATCATTCTTCTCTTTGGGGGAAAAAACATAACATATATTATCCCGTTTCTTAATATTTTTGTAGAAAATTCTCAATTTTCATGAGGAAATAATTTGCATCATTTCTATTTCTTAATTAGAATTACTTTTAATAAAATTAAAAGTTTTTTAAATATTAATGAAAAAAAATGTTTAGGTATTTGACAATTAGAAATTGAAACTTTTAAAATTTTTAGAAAATTAAAGGAAAAAGTTTTAGTCAAAAAAAAATGTTCTGTTACATTTATTTACAAATTTCTTTCAAATTTTTCAAAAACATCAATGACTTCTTTTTTTAAATAAATATTTAATTATTATTTTTCCATAGGAATTAAAATTCTTCAAAAGATTAAAATTCAAACCTTTTTGAAATTAAACAACTTATAAAAAATTGTTATAAAACACGAAGACATCGATTGCTTCGGAGTGATCGATTTCTTCGTGTTTTATAATAATTAAAGATGACCGAGTGATGAAATCATTATTTTATATTATAAGACTTAATAAAAAAAATTTTTTTAAATTATTTTTTATGAAATTAATTGGTATATTAGGAAGAAATTTATAAAATATTAGTAATTGAATTTTGCAGAAGAATTTTGATATTTACAAAAATAATAGAAATTTTGGGGAGGATTTAAAAAAAAAATTTGAAAATAATTAAATTTCCAAGCTGAATATTTTATTATTTATGAAGATAATTAAAATTTTGATGAGAAATTTAAAAAAAAAATTTGAAAATAATAGAATTTCTAGGATGAATATTTTTATTTATAAAGATAATTGAAATTTTGACAAGAATTTTATTAAAATTTTTACAAATAATTCAATTTTAGAGAAGAATTTTATTATAATTTATAAAGATAATTCAAATTTTGAACAGATTTTTTTTTAAATGTTTAAAAGTAATTGAATTTTGCAAAGAGAATTTTGATATTTATAAAGATAATAATTAAAATTGTGAGGAGAATTTAAAAAAAAATTTTGAAAAATAATTGAATTTTTGCGAAGAATTTTTTTACTTTTGAAGATAATTGAATTTTGCACGAATTTTATTAGAACTTTTGAAAATAATTAAATTTCCAGGATGAATTTTATTATTTATTAAATTTTGACGAGAAATTTAAAAAAAAATTTGAAAATAATTGAATTTCTGCGAAAAATTTTATTACTTTTGTAAATAATTGAATTTTAGAGAAGAATTTTATTATTTATATTTATAAAAAAATGTGTATTTTTGAATAAATAAATAAATAAATAAAGATAATTGAAATTTTGACAAGAATTTTATTAACATTTTTTTTAAATAATTGAATTTCGGAGAAGAGTTTTATTATTTATAAAAATAATTGACATTTTAAAGAGAATAAATATTTACTTAACAATTAAAAAAAAATGTTAACTAACAGAAGAAATTTTACTATTTTCGAAGTAAATTTTAGTAAATTTATAATGAAAGTTACTCCGCACTTAGTAAAATTTACTAAACTTTAAGGGAATTTTTAGAGCTAATTTTTATAGTTAATAAAATAAATTTTACTATTTCCGAAGTAAATTTCAGTAGAAACTTGTATAGTTAAAATTACTTTGGGTATAATAAAGTTTACTAAAATGTTTGAGAATTTTTAACACAAATTTTTTTAATTAACAGAATAAATTTGACTATTTCGTAAGTAAATTTTAGTAAATTTTGTAGTAAAAGTTAATTCGGACGCAGTAAAATTTACTAAACTGTATGGCAATGTCTTGAGGTTTTTTTTTTTTAATTCAAATGAATTTTACTATTTCTTGAATAAATTTTAGTAAATTTATATAGTAAAAGTTATTTTGAACGAAATCGAATTTACTATAAACTCTACAAGAATTTTTTTGAGTCAATTTTTTTATTAACAGATTACAGTTTACTACATAGCAGAAGTAAATTTTAATAAAATTTAAATCGAATAAAATTTATTAGAACCAAATAAAAAATTTTAATTAAAATAAAAAATTTTAACTCAAATAAATCCTTTTTCTGAGTGAATTATTCGTTTATTTGAATCAAATCAATTTTATCCCAGTGGCGTAACTATTATCGTATGATTTATAACTTACCGTCCTATTCGAGACGCCTTTCTCAGTATTGCAATTTCTTTATCGTCTAAAGGCTGACAAATTTCGGATAAAAACATTTTATTTGATTCAATAAATGTTTGACGTGCTCGAAATAGAATAATGAGTTTAATAAGAGCCATGAACCATGTGCAGAAATAAAAAATGCTCTGTATCAGTGTTTCGATGCTGTCATGTTTTTGGAACATGTTCACAAAAAATGTAATGTTAAATAAAACGAACATTAAAATGGAAATTGTGGAAAAAACATAATAGGGATAAATTTTCCAATTTGAATTCCAATCGACGGGTCTCCATATTCCACATAATTGAAACATTGTATATGAATATTCACCCAAGTATAATTTCTCTTTCTTCTCCTCAGTCATTTTTTTGTAGAAAATTGTATTATTTCTTTCGACACTATTTTTTTTTCTTCTCAAATTTTGTGGTTGTTAATTGTTTTCAAATTTTTTTTTTACCAATGAGTGCTTAACTCCAATTTATTTTTAAGAATATTTATTTATAATAGTTATATATAATATAATAATAATAATAATAATAATAATAATAATAATAATAATAATAATGTAATAATTTATGTAGAAAAAATTATTATTTACTATTTATAATTTTTTTCATTGCTTCTTTATTTATTTTTTTATTACTTTTTTATTGTATTTCTTAATTGTTATTTTTTTATTTATTATTATTTTATTTATTACTTTTTTCTTTTTAATTTTCTTTTTCTATAAATATGAAAAAAATTTCTTTAAATTACTTTTTTATTTACTATTTAATTTTTCTTTTTTAATTTCTTTTTTTTACAAGTGGGAAAAGATTTTTCTGTAACAAGAAAGCTTCTTAGAGATAAACCCTCTTTCAACGATTATTCACCAATGATTCGTTTTTCAAAAAAAAAAACTTCGCAACCCTATCTTTCGTCTATTCTTTTTTTTGAGAGAGAGAGAGAAAAATTGTCGAGAATATATTTAATATTTGATTAAAATAATACAAGAGCAATTTGAAAAATAATAGCTTTGTTATAATTAATTCAGAAAGTCTTCTTCAAGAGTTACTGCATTGTTGTATTTCTACTCTATTATTACGAATTGATTTATCCATAATAAAAAGTAGTTTGTCACAAAAAATATATACAAAGAAAGAAATTCATTTCTTTTAACGTTCTTGCATATTAAAATAGTTGGCTTCGTAAAATGTTGCAAAACCTGCAATTCCAATTCTTTTTTTAGCGAGTCTCTGCCTATTTATGTTGGGAAAGGAAAAATATCAAAACTATTATTAGTGTAATTTTTCTTCTTCTTCTTCTTTAACTTCCGAAATTAGAAGTTCAATATTACGACTACTACAATGTAGAATTCTTGAACGAATAAATAATTAAAAAAAAATATTGCGCAGATAAAATGTTTAGTTTTGGTTTAGCTTTCATAGTGGTTAGATAGAAAAAAATTGTCGATTCTTTCGTTGAAAATGATTGTTCACAGAAAGAAATAAAATTGCAAAATTATTTAGTCTCACAGTGAAAAAAAAAATTTATTTGAATCATAATTCGATTACTTGACTGTTAGCAAGTAAATGTTTACTTGAATCAAAAATTTTTTTTAATTGAATCAATTTTTAATGAAATAAATTAATTTTTATTTAAGTCAAACAATTTTTGTTGAAATAAAATAATTTTTATTAAAATCAAATAATTTTTATTGAAGTAAAATAATTTTTATTTGAATCAAATAAATTTTTTTTCAGTTCAAATTTTTTTAATTTTTTTAATTTTGCGATTGTTCACCCAGAGAAAAAATTTTTTTATACCAAATATAATTTATTTGAGTTAAATAATAGTTTATTTGTCTCAGTGTCTTCTGAATTATTTTTGAAATAAATTTTTATTCCTTAGTTAACATGCCGTAAATTTACGATTTGTTTGTATTTAAAATTTTAAACTTTTAATTTTCTACAAAGATTTTGTTTTTTGTTTAAAAAAAAATTTGGTAAATAAATATTAGAATTATTTTTATGCAGGAATTTTGATTATTTTTGCAATACGTTGCCTATTTTATTGTATAAATCGTACTTTTAACATAAGAAGTTATTTATTTAAATAAATTTATTATTATTTATTTAAAGGGCTTTTGAAATTTTTATAAATGTCTAAAAAATTTACTCGAAATATATAATTATACTATGTGTTGAATTTTTTTTATTGTGAAGTATTTTTTAGTAGATTATAAGCAGAATATGTTGATTTCACTACCTGTAAATTAAATAATTTCGTATTATTATTCTTCTAAAATAAAATTCTAATTCTAATTCCTGAACGTTCAAGTGAAAAATGATTTTTTTTTGGTGAAATTTTCGAGTATTAATTTTTGTTCTTCAAATTGAAATTTTATTTCACAATAATAGTCCGTCATTCGTATTAAATGAAGAAATTATAAAGATTCTGAATGTTGAATTTTTTTGTATTTTTGTAACAGTCAATTATTTTTGAAATGTTTATATTGGCAAAAAATGTTGTTCAGTTGAACGTTCAAAACTTTTGTAAATCATAATAATATTTGCGAATTATTGGTCGATTACCTTTTTTATGAAAAAACAATAAACATTAAAAAATATTTTACTATTAATTATTAAATAAATAAATTATGAATTAAAATTATTAAAATGATTCTAAATTCTGAATTCTATTCTTAATATGCGACTATATTCTAAATTCTATTGAATAAAAAAAAAATGAAATTAGGTACTGACTTTCATAAATGTATCAATTGACATGGTGACGATTGAAGCACCAGTCAACTGGATTGGTCTTGAAGAGCGTATCATTATTATAATTAAAGTTTTCTTTGTCTTAATTTTTAGGGCCTCCCAGTTTAAAAAATAAATCGTTTGGGCTATTTCTAAACTCTAATTTTACAAATAAGTTTAATTGAAATAATTTTCAATAAAATACGTATACTAATAATTAAATGTTCAATAATAATTTAAATATTTGAATAAATAAATAATTTATTTATTTAGTTATTAAATAAATTAGTTGTTTATTTAGTTAATAAATAAATTAGTTGTTTATTTAGTTAATAAATAAATTAGTTATTTATTTAGTTGATAAATAAATTAGTTATTTATTTAGTTGATAAATAAATTAGTTATTTATTTAGTTAATAAATAAATTAGTTATTTATTTAATTAATAAATAAATTAGTCATTTATTTAGTTAATAAATAAATAATAATATTTAGTTAGTTATTAGTTATTTATTTAATTTAGTTAATCAAAAATAATGCACTAGTCTACCTTCTCCGTTATCTGATCTCCATAGAAGCAATAAAAGTAAATTTGCAGAACATACGTTGCCACTGCGAATATCATTATGCATCCAACTTGACTGCCTAAACTCACTTTAGATAAATTGAAAATAATTGCACACAAATTGAACATCGATGCAAAAAATTGAAGAAATATGACAAGACCGAATTGTTTATTTAAATTTTTCGCCAATCTGAAACATGAATTTCGTTAATGGAAATAAATTAAATAGAAATACTTGATGTACTCTATTCACTTCATTTCGTTTGCGAGAGGATTTTCATGCCCTCTAGGCGGCAATTTCCAGAAACTTTATTGGCGCGAAATTCAAAACGAGAAAGATTTAAATTATAAATATTGTATTAATAATTAATTAATTAATATTCCTCACATAATAATTATTATTAATCTCATTTTTTATAATAATAATAATTATTATTATTTTTATTACTGATAATATAAATTTTACTTTTTTCGACTTTATCAGGTCCCTGAACTTGGCGTCGACGCTGAGCTTCGGAAAAATATTTTTTTTTACAAAACCGAAAAGAATAAAACAATTTTTTTAAAGATTTTAGAGTAAAAAGAAGTCTGAAAAATTTTTGAACTTCATCAGTAAGTGAAAGAGGTGAAATTAAAAAAATTAAAAAAATAGTTTTCGACGATGAGAATATATTTTATTGAAATTATTAAATTACTATTATTATTATTATCTATTATTATCTATTATTAAAATTTTTGTTTCGAATTGTTGACTTACGAATAAATGAACAGAAGATGTTTTATACAATGTTTGGTGAGTTCTGTTTCCTTATCATTGTACGAACCATCGGATATTTTAATATTATCATTATTCTCATGAGACACTTCTGACAATAAATTGAAGCGGTGCATTATTATTTCTATTTGACCGCATATTTGTAGAATTGTTGTCAACGCTAAACTGTCCATTCCCACAGAAATAGTTATTGTCATAATAATGCCTATTGTCTGATAGACATAAGAAAAAATAAATACAAGACTGGAGTCTTGGAGTGAATAGGGGAACCAGGCAGGTAAAGGAAGTGTTGTAACGTTTTTTGATGCCAAGGGTATTGAATATGATACACATCCATTAAAGTGTACCAATACAAAAAATAGAATTGTATTTCGCCTAAATAGAAATTAATTTTCACTGATAATCAAAATTATATATTATACTTGGTAAAAATGTTTTTTATGATGATTTTTTTTCTTAGACTGCATTATATATTTACTGATTTTGTAATAATTAATCTTTTTTTCAAATTTTTTTTGTAACTTTATTGAAAATGCGATGAACTCAGATGCTTTTTTCTGTTTTTTTTTCTTTTTCTATTTCGATGCAATGATTAACAAGATTTTTTAATGAATTCTTTTCAATGCGAATGATATTGTTACAGTCGAACCTCGTTTATTGGGACATAAATTATTGCAATAAATGCGAGGTTCTATAAAGCGAATTCATTGAGAAAAAAAATTCATTTTTAAAGTTTTGCTGTATTTTTTATTATTTTTTACAAAAAAAATTTATTTACTGTAATTTATTTTATTTTTATTTTCTGATTTTTACTGTATTTTTTTGCTGTACATTATAAATAAATAAATAAAATTTTTTCTGTATGTTTTACTATTTTTTTACAATTTTTTCAATACATTATTTTATTACATTTTTTATTATTTTTATCAGCGTTACCACAGATCAGGGAAATCAGGGAAAAGTCAGGGAATTTTATTAAAAGTACTGGAAAAAATTAAATGTTCAGAATTTATAACAATATTCTCAAATTTTGTGTCTGACTCATAAATTAGAAATAAATTACTACGAATTCTAAAAAAACGTTAAATTTTTCCCATCTCTGACAATAATTTATTTTAACGCAATCTTAATAAATATTCAAATTTTTCCCAGAAATTCAATTATAGTCAAAAATTTTAAAAAAGTTCTCGTCAGCATTTCAATTATTTTTAGAAATATCAAAATTCTTCGACAAAGTTCAATTTTATTCAGGAATTTTAATAAAATTCATTATAAAATTCAATTATTTTCAATTATTTCCATGAATAACAATATTCATCACAAGAATTCAATTATTTTCAAAGTTAATAAAATTCTTCGCAGAAATTCAATTACTTTCAAAAAATCATAAAAAATTGTCACAAACATTTCAATTATTTTTATAAATGAATAGCAAATTTTTTCGATAAAATTCAATTATTTTCAGGAATTTTAATAAAATTCAATTAATTTCATAAATAACAATATTCATCACAAGAATTCAATTATTTTCAAAGTTGATAAAATTATTCGCAGAAATTCAATTACTTTCGAAAAATCATAAAAAAATTGCCGTCAACATTTCAATTATCTTTATAAATAAATAGCAAATTTTTTCGATAAAATTCAATTATTTTTAGGAATTTTAATAAAATTCATTGCAAAATTCAATTAATTTGAAAAACTTTTCTAAATTCAATGATTTTTAATATTCTACTATTTTAATAAAATTTTAAAATTCTTTTCAGGGATTTATTTATCATAAATAAAATATATTCATCACAAGAATTAAAAAAAATAAATTTCCAAAAGAATTCAATTATTTAAAAGCAATTTTGATAGAATTTTAAATACTTTTCAATACTATTTTAATCGAATTGCTCGAAAAATGTAATTATTCTTAAAAATGTTATTAAAATTCGTCAAAATAATTCAATTTTTTAAAAATTTGTTGATAAAATTATATATGAGATTTCAATTTTAAGAAATATTCAATTATTCAATAAATTATCGGTTTTTATTTAAATAATTGAATTCTCGTAGAATTTTTTAATAAAAACTGATTTAAAAATTAATTTCAGTAAAAGTTTTAGATAATAATTGAATTTTGTAGAAGTTACTAATAATTGCAATTTTTAGAAATAATTGAATTTTTGTAAAAGTTTCAAATTCAAATCTTTGAAAATTTGAATTTTTTATACATTTAATTAAAAATTCTATGAAACTAATTTTTTTTAAAAAGCTTAATCGAAGAATTTCCGATAAATTGAAATTTCGTAAAATTGAATTGCAAACAAATAAATTTGAAAATTCTCAAAAGAACTTTATTAAAAATTTATAAAAATAATTGATTTAAAGAAGAATTTTTTTTAACAATAAATTTTTAACAGATAAATTGAAATATTAATTAAATTTTATTTATTTATTTATTTAGTGTTTCTATTTATTTATTTTATTAATTTTAAAAAATGAATTGTATAAAATTTAATTAAAAAATAATATACCTAATAAAATATAATTTAATAGAATTTAATATATAATTTAAATTATTACTTAAATTATTTTTTTGTAATTTCTTCTCAATGAATTATTACAATTTAATAATTAACTAAATAATTATTTATTCAATTAAATTAATTAATTAATATATAATTATTTATTGTTATCATTGCCAATGAAAAATTTCATTAAAAAAAAAACTATATCTGTACGAAAAATTACCTTCCTATTCGTGAAAATTCTTTTATTATTGCAATCTCATTATTATCGCGAGGCTGACAAATTTCAGTTAAAAACATTTCATTTGATTTTATGAATATTTTCCGCGTCCAAAATAAAATTACCAATTTGAGAAAAACATTGAAAATTGTGCAAAAATAGAAAATACTCTCCATAAGTTTTTCAATGTTTTCATGATTTGCAAACATTTGAACGAAAAATGAGATATTAAATAAAATGAACATTATTAGAGTGATTGTGGAATAGATGCGATAAAAGAAAATTTTCCACTTTAAATTCCAATGGACGGGTCTCCAAAATCCACATAATTGAAATGCTTTGTATGAAATTTCACCCAAGTACATGATTTTTTCTTTTTTATTTGTCATATTTTTTTTCACTTTTATTAATTAAAATTGAATAGATAATTAATTTAATTAATTTAATTAATTTTAATTAAGTTCAGCTTTATTCTCGCACTATTAAAAAAAATTGACTTAAATCAGTGAAAAACTTTTAGTTAATGATATAAATATTTTTAATTTGAGACTGTACTTTTTATTCTTTTTCTTTTTTTCTGTAAATTTGTTATTTTAATGTTTGTAATTTAGTAAAATTGTATTCTTTTATTAAATAATAGAAAAATATAAAAATGAAAAATATTCTTGAACAATGGTAAACGAGAGTATTTTAATATTTTCAGATTTAATTTTCTTGATTTTTTTCGATCTATTTTTGAAAATTATTTTTCTTGCAAAATTTAGATAGTTTGAGATTAAATTTTCGTTGGTAATGATTTTTCTCGATCTATATTTGAAAATTATTTTTAACACGCAATTTAAATAAATTTGAGATTTAATTTTCGTTGGTAATGATTTTTCTCGATCTATATTTGAAAATTATTTTTAACACGCAATTTAAATAATTTGAAATTTAATTTTCTTTTCGATCTATTTTAGAAAATTGTTTTTATTACGAAATTTAAATATTCGGAGATTTGTTTTGCCTTGGTAACTATATATTTCCTCTCGAACTATATTTTGAAAATTATTTTTAATTACGAAATTATTGAAATATTTTAAAATTAATTTCCCTTTTGGTAATTATTATTTCGTTTCGATTTGTACTTGAAAATTTATTCGGATCATTGAGAAAAAAAATTACAATTTTTGAGACAGACCACACACACGTTGTTTCAATAATATTTCTCCATTGACTATTTGACTTTTTTTTAGAAAATTTTTTCTACCCTCTGAGAAATATCGTGTAGAATATTATTTTCATGATTAATAATAAAATAATAATGAGCAAAACTTTCGAAAATAGTAAATTTTGCTATAAAAAATTCAAAAACTTATTTTTGTAAAAGACTTTTACTCAACTATTACGAACAATTTTTTTTTCTTTTGTTAATAATAAAAGAAAGTTTTGTCGCAAAATAGAATTTTTCCAGCAATTTGCATATTAGAAAAAGTCAATTTCGTAAAATTTATCAGAACATGTAATTTATCACTTTTTTCAAGCATCACTTCCTTACATTGTATATAAATGAATTAAGGAAAATATGTAGGTGTAAAAGTTTTTTCTCTATATTTTATTTCCGAAGAAAAAGGCATATTGTCGTCCCTATCATGTGTAATTTTTTTTTTTGCATGAATAGTTAAAAAGTTCTTGCGCAGAAAACAGTAAATGTTCTTAGTCTTTGTTTGACTTTCACTCAGTTTGGATGTATCAAAATTTTTATGTAGATTTTTTTTTTGTTTTACTACAAAAATAATAAGAGAAAAAAATGGAGAAAAAAATTATCTGCCTTATTCTTTGCACATTGCGCTGAAACATTATTAATTTTTAACACATTTTTTTGTGCAATTATTCGATTTACTTAATTGTAGCTACTTTTTAGTAAATTATACGAAGAGTATGATGATTTCACTACCTGGAAATGGAAATTTAAAAGAAAATTTAAAATTAAATGTAAAAATTAAAATTTTAAATTTAAATACTTATAAGTAATTTTTTTCGGAAATTTACAGGTAAATATAAGCTTCATTAAAATAGTTAAAATATTATACTGAGAAAAAAAACATATTTATCTTTGTTATTCAGTCAACCGAAAATTATTTTTTAATTAAACATAATAATTTTGATTCAATACATAATAAGTTTGATTCAATAAAAATTATTCAATTATAAAATATATTTAATTCATACAATATTTTTTTGAAGGTTGGCTACTTATTTTCGAATTAAAAAAATTTTTTCTCAGTGTAATAATAGAATTGAACAAAAATTGTCCAAATTGAGAGCTGATTTCAAGAAACAAGTTCGAGATTAAAAAAACGGTTTTTAGATTGATGAAATCATTACTCAAATTTGACAAATTTTTTTATTTTGTTTGGTGTACCAACTTTCATAAATGTGTCAAATGACATGGTGATGATTGATGCACCAGTTAATTCGATAGGTCGTGAGGCGCGCATCATAACTATCAATAAATTTTTTTTTGTCTCGATTTTTAAAGTGTCCCAGCTTAGAAAATAAATTGCTGATTCTATTTCTAAACTCTGTTATTATTATTGATTAATTTTTTTAATACATTTTCGTTTCAAAATCATAAAAATAATTGGAATTGAAAATTTTATTCACTTGATTAATAATTTTATTGATTTTTTATTATTTTTATTGACTATTTATTATTTTTATTCACTACCTATTATTTTTATTTACTATTTATTAATTTTTTTTTTATTTTTTATTGTTTTTATTGTCAATAAACCAAAAAATTTTATTATTACCTACATTTTTCTCGAACAATTTCTATAATTTAATTAAATCACAAGTACAATAGAAAAATAAGTTTGTGATTTTTCTGTTGCATATAAATATAATTTATATTTCAGGAAAATATTGAAAATTATGGTAGTTTCAGAATTGATGTTTTGTTTATTAAAGAAAAACTTACCTTTCTTCTGACTAAATCTCCATAGTAGCAGTAAATGAAAATTTGGAAAAAATAAGTTGCTGCTGCCGAAATCATTATCGAACCAATTCGACTGTTTAAATTGACTTTTGATAAATTGAAAATTATTGCACAAATATTTATTGACGAGGCGAAAAATTGTGAGAAGACTACGAAACCGAATTGTTTGTTTAAATTTTTACCCAGTCTGGAAGAACAATAATTAACATTAATTAATATTAACGACCAACTAGATTCAATTAAAATAAAATTAATTTTATTTATTTATTTATAAAATTAATTTCATTCATTTATTTATCAAATTTTTTTTATTCTTTCATTTAAAAATTTATTTTATTTATTTTTTATCAAATTTATTTTATTCTTTTATTTATAAAATTTATTTTATAAATTTTATTTATTTATTTATTTGTAAAATTTATTTTATTTATTTATCCAATTTCTTTTGTTTATTAATTCAAAAAATTCATTATTTATTTATTTTTCTCTAATTTCTTTTTTTATCTAGAGGTTTATGACATAAAAATAAAACTTGTAGGATTAAGAAATAAATTCTATTCTATTCTATTTTTTTTAATTATTAACTTACACGTATATGAAGTGATGATGCTTTATGCAATTTTTTGTGTACTCTTCTTGATCATACATTGGTGATTTTTCATTATAATTATTATTAATTTCTTTTGATAATTTCGAAAGTAGTTTTAAGCGATGTATATTTATTTTCAGTTGACCGTAAATTTGCAGCATTGTCGTGAGTGCCAAACACTCGATACCAACTGATATACTTATTGCCATATTGATGCCAATTAATTGGTAAATGTAAGATGAAATAAATAAAATTTTCGAGTCAAGTGAATACGGAAACCATGCGGGTATAGGAAGTGTTTTTGTCTTCGATAATAATGGCGCAAAATACACCACAAATCCATTTATGTGCACCATTATAAAATACAAAATTGTATTCCTCCTATTTTCAAAGATAATTTATATTCTAATATACATAATAAAAATTTATTTTCAGTAACATATTATTTTTTTAAATTTTGAATCACAATATTTGCTACTGTTTTTCAAAATTTTATGAATTTTACTATATTTGAAGTAAATTTCAGTAAAAGTTAGTAAAATTTACTTTGGACTTGGTATTTCCTCTAAAATTATAGTAAAATTTACTATTAAAAATTGTTATTTCTAGAATAATTTTTACTATTTCCGAAGAAAATTTCTTTATAAATTATTATTACTTTAGAAGTAGTAAAATCGAGAGTAAAATTTTTCTCTGAAAATAATAATTTTTTATAAGATAATTTTACTTACGCTCGAAGAAAATTAAAAAAAAACTTCAACAAAAATTAACTGTCGAAATAGTAAAATTTGCTATTAAAAAACGTTATTTTCAGAACAAATTTTGTAATAGAAGTGAGGAAATTTTAATAAAAAATTAGTAAAATATACTTTCGAGTTAGTAAAATTTATTCTGGAAATAGTACAAGTTGTGAAAAATTCCAAATAGTTTTTATATTACTTTGCAAGAAGTAAAAATTATTTTATGTTTGTATAAAAAAAATTTCCACGTTCAAAAACTCTGAGAAAATAATATAAAAGGATTTTTTTTTTCAAAAAACTAACATTTTTTTCGAAAGTTTGCAAAAAGTAGAATTTTATTTCTTCAACTTGAAATTTAAAAAAAATGGCACTATGCTGTGTAATTTATTTTCAAAATTAAACTAAAATTAAAATAATCAAAATTAAATTATAATTAAATTAATTAAATTAAATAATTAAAATTTCCAAAAATTGTCAAAAAAGAAAAGAAATCTAAATAAATTAAATTTATTAAAAAAATAGAAATTACCTTCCTTCATGTGAGCACTCGCGTATTATTTCAATTTCCTCATTGTCGCGAGGCTGACAAATTTCAGACATGAACATTTCATTTGTATTTATAAAAATTTTCCGTGTCGAAAATAAAACTATCATATTCATCAGGACATTGAACATTGAACAAAAATAAAAAAGACTTAGAATATAACTGAGGGCATTTTCATGATTTTCAAACAAAGGCACCAAGAAGGTAATATTAAATAGAATGAAAATCATCAAGGCAATTGTTGAATAGATTTGATAGAGGACAATTTTCCATTGTGATTTACAATTGACGGGCCTCCAGAATCCACAGAATTTGAACATTAAATATGAAAATTCACCCAAGTACATAATTTCCTGTTTTTTTAACATTTTTTTTTTATTTTTGTTCATTCACTAGTGAATTTTTATTTTATTTATTAATTTTATTCAGTAGAGTGAATAATCCCACAAAATTGATTTTTAATAATGAAAAAACTGTAATTATACAAAATACTGATAGAAAAAAATTTTAAAAATTGAATTATTTAATTTTACTTTTATTTTTTCCCTTTTTGAATAAATTTTTAAAAAAATTTATTTTTTTTGTTTATTTATATTTAAGATCGCTGTCGAGTAATAATACTGTCGAAATAGTAAAATTTGCTATTAAAAAATCGTTATTTCCAGAGCAAGAAAATATACATATTTTTATTTATTGTGAAAATTTTTTATTCGAATTCTCATTTATAGAAATTTTATTACTTGACGATGAGAAAACGTAATTTTATTAAGACGATTTATTTATTTGTTATTTTATTTATTTCTTTATTTATTCAATCCATATAAAGGTAACAAAATCTGTTCAAATTTCCTTTTTCTATCGGGGGCAAAAAAAACTATTTTTTTGCTAAATATTTTTCTAAAAAGACCAAAGAGAATTGTGTAAGTCCTCTTGGCTAGTGCTTTTTGATGACTATTGGTCATTTTTTGCCAAGAACTTTTGCCACCCCCTTAATATTTTTCTCTCATTTGTGCTTATATAAAATAAAGTCCCTCTACTTTTTCACCCCCCCCCCCCCGATTATTCTGTAGAGAAAAAATAAAATGAAACAAATTGAATGTTTCACTTATAAATAATTGAGAACTTTTTTTTATCTATATATGTAAGATATCAATTTGTGTCTCATTAAATTATTGTATTCTATATTATTACGAATTGATTTTTTTTTTTCATAAATAAAAGTATAATTTTTTTTTCTAAACACTGCGAAAAGAATTTTGTTTTTATTTTTATTTCTTATGAGAAAAAAAGAAATTAATGTCGCAATATAATATTGAAGCATGTAATTTTTCTATTTTCGTTTTTTTCTATACTCGATATAATTGAGTTTGAAATTCATAAATACAAAAACTGTTATTAGTTGTATTTTCTTTATGTTTTATTCTCGAATAAAGACTGTGTATGATTTCTTGATTTATAAATATTTAAAAAGTTCTTGCGTATGGAAAAAAATGTGAGAGTTTAGTCTTTAGTTTGCCTTTCATACTGTTTTCAAGTAAAAAAATAAAAAAGAAATATAAAAATCATTCTCTAAATCTGAATTATTAAAAGTTTTCAGAATTTAGAATTAATTACAGATTTTTTGTTTTTCTTTTTAAATAATAAAAAGTTACTAATTATTTATAATAGATTTTTAAAAATATTTATTAGTAGAATTCGTAGAATTTAAATAATTTATTGAAAAAGAAAGAGAAAAGAAGAAAAGAAAAAAAGGGAAAAAGAAAAAAGTTAGTTATATTATTATTATTATTATTATTATTATTATTATTATTATTATTTTGGTTAATTTTAGCAAAAACGATATAAACTTTCTAAAAATTTATAAGTAAATAGTTTAAATAATAGTTTATAAATAATAATAACAATACTAATTATAATAATAATAATTTTAGAATTTAAAATTAAATTTACAAATTAAATATAAATTTTAATTGAAAAAAAATTCCTTAAATTAATTTTTATTATTATTTAAATAATTTTCGAAAAATTAAATTAGATTTCCATTAATATGACAATTTTTAGACAAAAATATTTGAGGGAATTTTCAAAAATCCCTCAAAAAAATTATCTCATTATGTTACATATTTTAATGAAAATGGAAAAAATACTAAAAAAATTGTTTAATAATTTGAAATTTTCTTTTTTTGTTGCAGGGTAAGTGCTTAATATTTATGGACCATTGGAATGGAATAATTTTATGAAAAATCTTATTCTTACTGATATTATGAAGACAGAAAAATATCTTCAGTCGTTTTACAAATTTATTAAAATAAATAATCATCGACGGTAAGAAAAGTTTGTATAATTTATTAAAAAAAATATATATTTCTAATAAGATTAAAGTTTCGAAAGAAATAAATTGGAAAAAAATAATTAATAATTAGAAAAATTATCAATTTTTCTGAATTTGTCAAAAGAGTTACTAATATTGCAGAAAATTTTTTGATTTTTTGAAAGAAAGAAATTAGGGAATTTTTTGATTTTGCTGAATTTGTCAAAAAAAGTTTCTAATTTTACTAAAAAAAATTTATTTGAACTTTTGAAAGAAATAAATTAGGGAAAATGAATTTAAAATAAGGAAAACTTTCAATTTTGCTGAAGTTGCCAAAAAAAGTTTCTAATTTTGCAAAAAAAATTTTTTTTGAACTTCTGAAAGAAATATTAGGAAAAAATAATTAAAAAATAGAAAAATTTTCAATTTTGATGAATTTGCCAAGAGTTGCTAATTTTGCAAAAAAATTTTTGATTTTTTGAAAGAAATAAGTTAGGAAACTTTTCGATTTTGCTAAATTTGTCAAAAAAAAGTTTCTAATTTTGCAAAAAAAATTTTTTTTGAACTTTTAAAAGAAATAAATTTAGGAAAAAATAATTAAAAATTAGGATAATTTTCAATTTTTATGAATGTACTAAAAAGTTGCTAATTTTGTAAAGAAAAATAATTGAATTTAGAATTTTTACCTTTTTAATATTTTTGAATTTCCATAATTGAATTTTTCCTGCATTTATTTTCAAACCTGAATTTCTAATTTTTTTTTTTTTTTTTGAACTTTAAAAGTTTGCCAGAGGTGAGAAAGTTGTATATAAAAAAAGTCGTAATAGTATATAACACTTTTCCTTTTATTTCCTTGTAGCTACAATATTAATGTAGTCACAGAAAAAAAAATTACAGTTCATTCTTCTTAAAAACTGTACATGTTAATATCGATAATGTGAAAAATACGATTTCAGAAAGTTACAGATTTTAATTATTTACTTTCATTAATTGTTAATTTTATCAAAAAAAAAGAACGAAAATATTTAAACTCTTATTTTACAGAGAAAAAAAATTCTATTACTATTTCGTTTTGAAAAAAATTATAATAATTGTAATGCACATTAAAATTGACGTTTCTGTTGATTCTTTATTTTTTCTTGTTATTTAAATTAAAAAATTTTTTTTCATAGTTTTAAAATTGTACTTTTACAAAATTTTTGTATACAAAATGTCTTTTTATTTTTTTTGTATACAAAATGCGATTTTATATTTTTGTGTACAAAATGCGATTTTATTGTATAAAAAATGTAATTTTATATTTTCGTAAATAAAATGCAAGTTTATAAATTATATTTTCTATTATATATCATTATAAAATGGAAGCGATTTTATAAACTTGAATTACTTTAGAATTTCTCTTTATTTTCCGTCTGCGTTATAAATGTTTGGTTGGAAATTTGAAGAAGAAAAAATAAAGTTTTAGTCTGCACGACTAACGATGACATGACTTTAAAAATCACTGATTATAATCGAATATTTTTTGTATACAATGCACGTACATATTAGACGTAGAAACTTGGCTTGAGTACAGTTTGACTATTAGCTAGTAATAGTGATAACTGCGATTTATTTTTAGCTATACAATAGAAATTATTTTTTTTTTCAAAAATTTGTTAATGTAAGCGATTTTAACTGATTTAGGACAACAACAAAAAATTCGCATTAATTTATTTTTTATTATTACTATATAATATTAATTCTATTGATTGCTTAGCAACCAACGATATATCAGTCAGTTTTTTGAAAGTTCTTTTCCATTGCTTTTTAATCGAGCGAAACTTTCTAGAAAATAATTATGCGTTTGAATTGTCTCTCGCTTTTGTTTAAATTCATTTTCTTTTCAGGAAAAATCCAAATATAAATTATTATAGTTTTCAATTTTCTTTTTTTTAATTTCGCTTTTTTATTTATTATAATTTAGTTTATTTATTGTGAATTAATTTTTATTTTCATGTCCTTTTTTTTTGGAAAATATTGAATTTTTCAATTTTTTCATTCAAAAAACCCAAATAAATTTATTTTAATGATATAAACGAATTTATTACTAATGATTTTTAATTAAAGTTATTTTAGTTCATTTATTATTAATTTATTTAATAATAATATTTATAATATAAAACATTATTAATATTATTATTAATTTTAATTTTGAAGTTTTGTAATTTGTAATTTAAAAATTCGATAAATTCAAAATGGAATTTTTGTTTTTCTGGCATTTACTTTTTTAGTAAAGTGAAGTTGCAAGTTCTTTGTTGGTACGTAATATAATTTTTAGCGTAACAATTAGAATTTGAAAAAAAAAATGGTTGACAATCGAAATAATCAAATTTTAGATTTTTGGTGGAAAGAAAATGTTAAACAAAATATGAAAAACTTTCACACATTCAATAATTTAAGGCCTATAGTGCAAGTCTCTTCTTTGTTTTTAAATAAAAATCCTAAATTCGAGTTTTGCGAAAGTGTTTTGATTTTCGAGGAAATGGAAAAAATGATTTTCATTTAGAACGAAAAGTAAGAAAAGAAATGAGAGAAAAGTAAGAGAATAAATAAACGACAGGAAATTATTTTCATTTAGAACGAAAAGTAAAGAAAAGTAAGGAAAGAAAAGAAAGAAACAAGAAAAAACGACAGAAAAGTAAGAAAATAAATAGACAGGAAAGTAAAATATGAAAACGAAAGATAAGTGAAGTTTGAAATTTACAAAGAAGACTGAACTCGAATTGTTTCCCAAAAAAGAAAGAGACCATTTACACGATTTAAAGTCTAACTTAAAAGATTACTAAGTAAATGATTTTTTTTTTTTTGAATCATTGAAATTAAAATTCTCCAAATGGGAAAACTGTAATTCGAATGATGAAATGTTAATTTAATTATCACTGAATCCACTGAAAACTAATTCAATGGCCGCTTGCACATCGCCATTGGTGATTTGAAGCGCCTGAAGATTAACTGAATCGTCTAAAAGTCCAATTTCGTGCATTTGCGCTAATTGTCTTTGAATGTCGACTGATTGTGTTGTTGTTGTTGTTGTTGATGTTGGCGTCGATGGTGTCGAGGCATTATTCGATGATTGAATTGGAGTGAATGCGAATGCTTGTTGCATTGCCTGTGAGAACATTTCGGTTGTGATGACACCTGAATTTCTATTCGCTCGGGAAGATGATGAGGACGATGATGATGATAGTGTGCCAGTGTAGGGAAATCCTCGAGCGCCAGTTCTCGATAGTGCTGCGGCCAATTGAGCAGTGGTCACAGCCGAATTCGATGGAAATCTATTTAATAGTGAGGGTTGTGTTGAATCTGACGATTGCGATGAATCGCCGGCCATTTCCTCGTCGTCACTCATATTATCCAAACTGTAGGAATAGGCTGTTGTTGAGGCATTTGAATTGGAAGGATCTGAATTTGTTGCTGCATTGTGTGCTTCCTCGTGAACGGCGGTTGAAATGTGTTGTGCTGCTTCGACAAGCAGTGGATGTAGTTCGGCAATTCTGGAAATTGGAGAATTATCATTATAATTTGTTTATTGTTAGAATTTCTTTTTTGTACTTCAGAAAATAATAATTTTATGAGAGAATAATTTCCGTTGAAATTCTACAGAAAATTGTAGAATTATCATTACAATTCGATTATTATTAGAATTTCTTTTTTGTACTTCTACAAATAATAATTTGATGAGATTAATTTCCATAGACATTCTATAGAAAACTGTAGAATTATCATTACAATTAAATTATAATATTATTATAATTTCTCTTTCGTATTTCATCAAATTATTATTCTCGGATTTATGTTCCTAATTTATCAAGAATTATTTATTCACTAATTATATATTCCTAATTTATTTTGCTAACGTTTGAATGAACGAAATTTGGTGAAGTTGGTTGCTGAATTTGAAAACGTTTGTAATCATCGAATTAGAAGAAAAATTATTTTTCTATTCAAGTTTTTTTCTAAAAAAAATTAAAACCAAATTAAATAGTAAAATTATTTCTGGAAATGATTTTGTTTTAATAAAATAAAATAAAATAAAATGAAACTTTAATAAAATTTCTTGATCCAAGATATTTAAAACAGAAAAATTGGTAAACAAAAAATATTGTTTTCTAGATAAAGAGTATTTTTTCTTTCAGTTCTTAAAAATAATCTGGGAAAGAAATCACTTATCTTTAATAATATTAAAATTGTTTGCAGAAATTCAATTATTTTCAAAAAATTCAATAAAAATCTTGGCAAGAATTCAATTATCTTCATAAATAAGAAAATTCTTCGCAGGAATTCAATTATTTTTAAAAAATTCAACAAAATTCCTGGCAAGAATGTACTTATCTTCATAAATAATAAAATTCTTCGTAGAAAATTAATTATTTTCAAAAATTGTATAAATTATCTTAATTAAAATTTAATTACCTTTAAAAATATTAAAATTCGTCGCAGAAATAAATAAATAAATAAATAAAAAAATTCTTCGCAAAAATTCAAGTATTTTTAAAAAATTTAATAAACTTCTTCTCATAAATTCAATTATCTTCATAAATAACAAAATTGTTCGCAGAAATTAAATTATTTTCAAAAAATTCAATAAAAATCTTGGCAAGAATTCAATTATCTTCATAAATATGAAAATTCTTTGCAGAAATTCAATTATAATCGAAAATTGTAATAAAATTCTTCTCAAGAATTCAATTATCTTCATAAATAACAAAATTTTAAGCAAGAATGCAATTATTTTTAAAAATTTAAATAAAAATCTTGGCAAGAATTCAATATCTTCATAAATAACAAAATTCTTCGCAGGAATTCAATTATAATCGAAAATTGTAATAAAATTCTTCTCACGAATTTAATTATCTTCATAAATAACAAAATTTTAGGCAGGAATTCAATTATTCTCAAAGAAAAATAAATAAAATTCTTCGCAAGAAATCAATTATTTTTAAAAAATTCAATAAAAATTCTTGGCAAGAATTTGAATTATCTTCAAAAAAAAATTTAATTATTGTCAAGAATTGAATTAGCTTTAAAAATATTTAAATTCCTTGTAGAAATTCAATTATTTTTCAAACAAATTTTAATTCTTATTAAGAATTGAATTACCTTTAAAAATATTTCAATTCCTTGGATATTCAATTATTATTGAAAATTGTAATGAAATTCTTGTCAAGAATTTAATTGTCTTCATAAATAACGAAATTCTTCGCAGGAATTAAATTATTTTCAAAAATTGTAATAAAATTTCTCGACAAGATTCAATTATTCTTAAAAAATTGCAATGAAATTCTTCGCAAAAATTCAATTATTTTCAAAAATTTTAATTATTGTCAAGAATTGAATTAGCATTAAAAATATTTAAATTTCTCGTAGAAATTCAATTATTTTTCAAAAAAATTTTAATTCTTGTCAAGAATTGAATTACATTTAAAAATATTTAAATTTCTCGTAGAAATTCAATTATTATCGAAAGTAAATAACGAAATTGTAGACAGGAATTTAATTATTTTCCAAAATTTAAATAAAATACTTGAAAAGAATTCAATTATTTTCATAAATAATAAAATTCTCCGAAAACATTCAATTATTTTCAAAAATTTAAATAAAAAACTTGACAAGAAGACAAGAATTCAATTATCTTCGTAAATAACAAAATTTTTTGAAAAAATTCAATTCTTATCCAAAAATTTAATAAAATCCATTGTGAGATTTCAATTCTTTCGAATGAAATTCTAATTAAATTCTTAGAATGAATTTAAATATTTGCAATAATTTTTTATACATTTATTGAAATATAAAATCAATTAAACATTTTTAAAAATTAGTTTTCATAGAAAATATTACAAAAAGTTTACAAAATAGGTAAGAATTAACGGAATTTTGATTCGAAAATTTGAATTTTAGAAATTTTAGATTCGAAACTTTAGGAAAATTCGGATTTACCTTTTCACAGTTGCAGGATCTGTGAAATGAGCCATTAAATCAGGATCCTGTAGCATTGCAATTGCGACAGTGTCCTCTCCAAGACCCGGAGACGATGATATAATATTTTGTATCACTTCAGGCCTTTTGCTTAGACGCTAAAAATTAATTTTTCGATTATTTTTTACTCAAAAACTCTGGACATTTGTTTTTTTTTCTCAGTTTTACTAAATTGGTGAAGTTCACAACGTTTATAATTAACGAATTAAGAAAAAATACTTTTTTAAGCGAATTTTTATTCGCCTGAAAAAATTTTTTCAAATTTTTCTTATCAACTATTTTTTAAAGAGAAATTTTATTGTTTTTCATGTGAAGAATATTTTCTACAATTTTCTTGTCAACTTTTGAAAAATTCTGTTGTTTTTCTTTAGAATATACTTTTTTTTTTATTAATTTCTTATAAAATTTCTAAAAAGAAAAATTCTATTGTTTTTTGTATGGAAAATATTTTTTCTATTTATTTCTTGTCAACTTTTTAAAAAGAAAAATTCTCTTGTTCTTCGTGTGGAAAATATTTTCTTTATTAACTTCTTGTCAAGTTTTTGAAAATATTTTTCAGACGAAAATCTATAGAATTTTTTGTCTTAAAAATATTTTTTCCATTAATTTCTTGTCAACTTTTTTTTTTATTAATTTCTTATCAAGTTTTTATAAAGAAAAATTCTATTGTTTTTTGCTTGGAGAGTAAATTTCTTTCTATTAATTTCTGGTCAATTTTTCTAAACAGAAAAATTCTATTGTTCTTCGTATGGAGAATATTTTTTCCATTAATTTCTTCTCAACTTTTTAAAAAGAAAAATTCTAATGTTATTCGTGTGAAAAATATTTTCTGTATTAATTCCTTGTCAAGTTTTTAAAAATAATTTCCAGAGGAAAAACAATAGAATTTTTTTGTCTGGAAAATATTTTTTCTCTTAATCGTTGATTATAAACATTATGAACTTTTTCAATGTAGTTTTACTTACGTGTAGAGCACTTCTAAGAGCTGGATTTTCATTGAATGATCGAAATGCACTTGCAAGTTGAGAAATATTATTGTCGGAAAAAGGTTTAACAAGAACTGGTTCTTCTGGAATTTTCTTCCTCAGCACATGAATCATTGCACCATTTTTTAACCCACACGACTCGAGAGTAGTATCATCCTCCAAAATGCAACCGCAATAAATTAATTCTGTAAACAAAGAAAACTAATTTTAGTATTTCCGAATTTGGACCAAGTATATATATATATATATGTTTTTTTTATTATTATTAAATATATTTATTATTTAATTAGCGTTTATAATGTTAATTCTTCCAATTAATTAATTTCCATTTTTCTTTTAATAATAATAGTCTCGATTAAAGTCCTCTGGACCAAAATATCGTCTTTGTTTACACTCGCTTTGTTCCACTCGACACTTCCATATTTTCTACATTCTCTATTATAGTAATAAAATTTTCCCAACTTTTTGAATTTACAAAAATAAAAAAAGGAAGATAACACCACCAAAGAGGGTAATAAAAAATATTGAAAATTATCAAATTTAGGGTAAATTTTCCATCTTAATATTACCGAATGTATCCTTTTTGAGGTTAGTTTTCCCTGCTGCCTCATTTCTCAGTTCTTCGACTTTATTTTTTAAATTCACATCACTTATTTTAATTGGCGTTGATGCTTGAATTAATAAACGATAATTTAACACAATTTCCATACTCATTTTTGTTGTTTTTCAATTTTCAAAATAAAGAAAAATGAGAAGAATTTCCTTTGTGTGAGAGCGAATAAGAACGCAGTGATACAGCAGTAAGTTACAAACGTCAATGACTGAATGACAACAAACAGCTGATGTGTAAAATGTCAGACATCTTTGTTTATGTCACGTTCCTATTGGCTGTCCCGTTTATTAATGAATGAATGAATTCTGTGTTTTCATTGGCTCACAACCTGTAGTAGAGTACACACGTAGTACTATTACTCCTTCTTGGAAATTTAAATCTCTCTAATTCTGAATTAAAAAATTTTAAGTAGTTTATTTTAAATAATATAAAATAATAATAACTAATAACAAATAATATTAAAAAAAATTGAATGCAGAAATTAAATATTATAGAAATTCAAAAGTAAAGAATAAAATGAAGAATAAAAATATTTACAGTGTTTAATTAAATTTAATAATTAATTTATAGTTTATTTAATTTATTAGTATTTATTTACTTAATATATGAATATTTACATAAATAAATTTTTATTATATATTTTAAGTTCCAAAAATATTTCTAAATTTTAATTAATTTATTTTGTTACTTTTAATTTATTATTACAGTTACTATTATTACTATTATTATTACTACTACTACTATTTTTATAATAATTATTTTTACTATTATTTTATTTTTTATATTATAAAATAGTTTTTTAAATATTATTTTTTTTATATTTACTATTAAAAGTGATTGAAAAATGAAAGAAATAAATATAAAAATTTAAAAAAAATTCAATTAAAATAAAATTAGTACATTAGTGAAGTTAATTAGTATCATAATTGTAATATTATGAAAAAAAATTTCTACAATATACCGGGTGTCAAATAAAAATAAATACAAAAAAATAAAAATTAATATATTTCTTGATGAAATTAATTAATATTACAATATTATAATTTGTAATGAAAATTCTTTTGCAATATACTGGGTGGTAAATAAAAATAAATAAAAAAAAAATTAAATATAAAAATTGAAAAAATTCAATTAAAATAAAATTAAACTATATAATTAAAATTAGTACAATATACCGAGTGTCAAATAAAAATCAATATAAAAAATTGAAAAAAATAAAATTTATTATATTTCTTGATGAAATTAAATTAATATAACAATTATAATTAAAAATCACGAAATCATAATTTTGTGAACAATTTTTTTTTGCAATACACTGGGTGGTAAATAAAAATAAATATAGAAAATTGAAAAAAGAATTCTCTTTTTAATTTTCTACATTTATTTTTATACTATTTTTTATACGATTAATTAATTTGATAATTATAATATTATAGAAGAAATGTTTTACAATATAACGGGTGGTAAATAAAAATAAAGAATGAGAACAAACATTAAAATTAAAAAAAACGAAATTCAATACATTTATTGATGAAATTAATTATTAATTAATTAAAATTACAATTAGAATTTTATCAACAAAACATTTTCTGTGCAATATACTGGATGGCAAATAAACATAAAAAAATCGAAAAAAATTTATATTCATAGATAAAAATTAATTAATAACAATTATAATGTTATAAAAAAATGTCTGTTTTTTTCAACATCATAAAAAATTAAAGAAAGTTAAAGAACTATTTTTATTGACGAAATTAATATTATTAATTGATTAGAAATAGAATTTTATGAAAAAAATTATCTGCAATATACTGGGTGGTAAATAAAAATAAAAAATTGTTATATTTATTGATACAAGTAATTAATATCATAGTTATAATATAAAAAAAATTTCTGCAATATACTGGGTGGTTAATAAAAATAAATTACAAAAGCAATCATAAAAAATTGAAAAAAGTAAGAATTATTATTTTTATTGATGAAATTTATTATTATTATTAATTTATTATTGTTATTTAAATATTTACTTTAATATTATTAATATTTAATATTAAATACTTAATATTTAATATTTAATATTTAATTTTTAATATTTAATATTTAATATTTAATATTTAATTTTTAATATTTAATTTTTAATATTTAATATTTAATATTTAATTTTTAATATTTAATTTTTAATATTTAATATTTTTTTATTTTTAATATTTAAACATTTATTAATTTATCAATATGATAATTAAATTATTAAAAAAAAAAAAATTTGAAATGTAGCGGTTCTCATGCAATAATGTCGCGCGCGTGCGTCTTTGGAAATATTTCAAGTTGCCCACGCATTGTGTGTCGAGAAATTTATTGTGAAAGACACATCTGAATAGTAAGTGGTAACAGACTAGACTGAAGGCGCCTCTTGTCATGTTATAGAGACTGTTTTTTTTTTAAAAAGAAAAAATACTATTTTTTTCACAAGTTTCAACGTGATATTAAAAAAGTGCAATTTTATTTATTTATCTGTGATTAAAAGTGGAACAATAATTGAGTGAAAAATGCCACGATTTCATAAAATTGAGATCAATAGAACGGAATGGGAAGTTCCAGAGCGATATCAAATGCTAACCCCGGTGGGTTCTGGTGCCTATGGACAAGTTTGGTAAGAAAAAATAAAAATTATTCACTATAATTTTGAAACGAAAAGTAAAAAAAAAGGTGCTATTTTTAAATAATAGGAGGGGTGAGGTTTAAAAGATAGAGAATAGTTCTTTTGATTTTTAGTATTTTTCCTCTTTTTTTCCAAATGAATTTTTGATATATTTTAATGAAAAAATGTACATATAGTGAGGCGGATTGTATATTTTTGTTGAGCAACACAGTGTCAATTGCATGAAACACTTATCATTCTCGGCATTATACTATTTTAGACTTTCTAAAATTGGCGGCATTAAAAACAAAATAAATTATAGCCAAGAATTTTCTTGGCATTTGGAGTTATAAATTTTCTCGATTTTCTTTTACCCAAATAAATAGTTTGTTTTCATTTTTTTTTTTTTAATTTTCATTTGCTATTTTCTGTATTTGCTAATTTTTAATTATAATATTTTTTTTTTAATTTTTATAGTTTTAAATTACTTTTCAATTCTTATTTTCAATTAAAAGAATTTCTAATTTTTAATCGTAATAATAATTTTTTAATTTAAATTAATTTTTCAATTTTTTAAAATTTTAATTACTAATTGTAATAATTTCTAATTTTTCTTATATTGATAAAAATTTTACACATATATGACAAATTTTTTTTTGGAATTAAGTAATTTTTAATTAATTTAAATTAATTTAAATTAATTAAAAATTTTGATTACTAATTTTAATAATTTCTAATTTTCCTCATAATGATAATAATTTTACACATATATGAAAATTTTTTTTTTGCTTAACTAATTACCTGGTTTAATGCTCCTCATAAGATAAGGTGAATATTTATTTGCTTTTGTTCGTGATAAATGGAATTATCGTTAAATTGTGATTTTTTGCTTTTTTGATGGCGAGTCAGTGATAAAGTGTATTAAAAGACTTGTAAAAATTATCTTATTCTGACCTCTGTTCATATTATTTTAAGTTGCCTTGAAGGATTTAAGTTTAGAAAACCTGCACGTATGACAGGTTGACCTATAACAGGTGCCCTTCTATTATATGTCAACAGAAAACATGTGGCACAATTATTATCATTTTATTACAATTATTCCAATTGTCGCAAATTTAATTGAAATTTTTTTTTTTTTTTTTTTTTTTTTTTTTTTTTTTTTTTTTTTTTTTGTAATTTAATTGTCTTTATAGAAAAGAGGAAAATATTTTATCAAGTGTCGAGAAAAAAAATTTTGCATATGAAAAAAGATTGGAAAAATTTTTCATTCTTAGTTTTTATTATCTTCTATTATTCTTTTTCTTATTGTTAATTTGTAATAATTGATTGATAAACAAATTAAAAAATAACTTTGAGAAAAAGAATCTATTTTTTATTCAAAGAATTTTGTATTTATTTTTTTATTTTTATTTAATTACATTTTTTTTTAATTAATTGATAAATTAATTAAAATATTTTCGATATTTTTTTTAGCAATTTTTAATTAATTTTATTTTTCAAAAGTTTTGAATATTCATTAAAAAGTTAAAGAAAAAATAAAGTTTAAAGAATAAAGTTTTTTCGCTACATAAATATTTTTAAAAATTTATTATGAATCTAAATAAATAAATAAATAAATTATCCGAAAAAGAAAAATAATTAGCGTTCTTTTCCACTAATTAGTAAAAATTGAATGATAAACAAATTAAAAAATTACTAAAAGTAATAAAATATTAAATAAAATACTATAATAAAAAAATACTAAATTACTAAAAGTGAAAAATGTTTCTATTCAAAAAATTTTTAAGTAATTTTTCTTTAATATTACTATTCAATATAAATTATAAAAGAGGAAAAATGTTAAAAGTTTTTATGAATTAAAAATTGAAGACAAAAATGAATGAAAAATTATATTAATATACTAACGTTTTGAAAATTATTATGAGGTTCATTAAATATTCTATTTTTGAAAATATATAATTACTGTTGTTTTTGATAAAATAATGTAAGTTAATTATTTATTGCGAGCAATTATTAATTACTTATAATTTTCTATAAAGTTTCGAACGTTCACACAAACGAAATACTTCTTCAGCATAAATATTTTTCGAAAATTTACTACATCCGAAAAAAATAATTGAAATTAATTTTTTTAATACAAAAAATAATTTATTTTGTCGTACAGTAATTTTTTTGTCGTAAAATAAGTTTTTTTATCTAAAAATATTTTTTTTTGTCGTAAAATAAGTTTTTTTTATCTAAAAATATTTTTTTTTGTAACAAAATAAATTTTTTTTGTCGTAAAACAAAATACAAATTAAATGAAATAGAAAAAAGTATTTTATATTTTTTATATTTTTATATAAATTTTAAATTTTTATATAAATATTTTTATATTTTTTTTTAAGAAAATATTTAAAAATATTTAAAATACTTTTTTTTACTCAGTTCTGCAGTGGACGTTACAACTGGTCAAAAAGTAGCTATAAAAAAATTAGCACGTCCCTTTCAATCTGCCGTCCATGCTAAACGAACTTATAGAGAATTACGAATGCTCAAACACATGAATCACGAAAATGTAAGTTTACAACAAAAAATTTTGAATATTCTCGTTTCATTAAATTTTTTTAGTTTTTATTTTTCACAAAATTTCTTCTATATTTATATTGTTATTTATATTCTTTCTATTTATATTTTTTTTCTTCTATTTTATACTTGGTAATTATTTATTACTTTCTTTGCGAAAATTAAAAAGAAACAGTTATTTTTAGCTGATAAATTTTCTCACATTGTTATTAATTTTGTTAGTTATAGAAAGTCATAATTATTTTCTAATTATTGCTTTTGATTTATTGAGGTAATTGGATTGTTGGATGTATTTCATCCAGCAACGTCCCTCGAGGAATTTCAACAAGTGTAAGTAATAAGAAAAAAAATTGACAAAATTTATTTGATAATAAAAAAAATATTTGATAAAAAGATATTTGATAAAATATATTTGATATTAAAAATAATATTTGTTATAAAAATGTATTTGATATTAGAAAAAATATTTGTTAAAGTTAAAATATATATTTGTTATTAAGAAAATATTTATTTCTTAACAAAATAAATTTGAAATTAAAAAAAAATAATTGTTCAAATAATATACTTTTTATTAAAAAAATTATGTTTCTTCAAAATATATATTTATTATTAAAAAAGATGTTTCTTTGCAATATTTTTTTTTCTTTTTTTTTTTTTTTGATTGACAAAAATTATATAATTATATTTAATAAATATTATAAAAATAAAAAAAATTGGTTGAAAAAAATATTTGATATTAGAGTAAAATATTTGTTAAAAAATATATTTTTTATTAATAGAATAAATTTTTTTTTTTTTTTGATTGAATTTTAATGAATTTTCAATTTGTAAAATAATAAGGTACTTAGTGACGCATCTGATGGGCGCTGATCTTAATAATATCGTTAGAACACAGAGGCTTTCAGACGATCATGTGCAATTTCTCGTCTATCAAATTCTTCGCGGCTTGAAGTACATTCATTCGGCGGGAATTATTCACAGAGTAAGTGGAAATTAAAAAATTTGGATTACAATCAAATTCATCGTCAAAAATGTGCAGTGAGAAAATTGCCAAAATGCAATTTCAATATAATAATTTGTGAAATTCGTTTCAAATAATTAATTATATAAATATTTCTAATTTTCGCTTTTAAATTGAAGACAGATAAATTTATCACTAAATTGAAATTAGAAAGAATTATCATTATTTATTAATAACAATTGAAATAGTTATTGTTCCTTCATAATAATAATTGTACCTAATAATTATTTTTACTTGATAATAATAATTAAAATATTTATTGTTTACTTGATAATAATTATAATAAAAATATTGTTACCTGATAATATTAATTTAAAAAGTTATCTTTACTTGATAATGTTAATTATAATAATTATTTATTACTTGATAATAATAATTAAAATCTAGCTATTATTATTTGATAACAATATATTTAAGTATATTTGTTATTTAAAAAAAATATTTTTTTTCAATTTGGTATTTATTTGTTTTTCTATTTATTGTTTAAACAATTTATTATTTTGATTATAATAATTAGTATTTAATGATAATTTTATTTTTCTCTATTAACATAAAATGTGGCTAATTTTTAGGACTTAAAACCGTCCAATATTGCAGTTAATGAAGACTGTGAATTAAAAATACTGGATTTTGGCCTCGCCAGGCCAACTGAAAATGAAATGACTGGTTATGTTGCAACAAGATGGTACAGAGCACCCGAAATTATGTTAAATTGGATGCATTACAATCAAACAGGTTTTGATTTTTAATTAATTAATTAATTTTTTTTATTAGAAATAATTTTATTATTAAAAAAATACTTCTATCTAACATTTTTACCAATTTGAATCAGTTACTGACTTTTTGCTTTGAAATTAGTCAATTTGACTAATAAATAGTCATTTTCACTAATTTACATAATAGTAAAATTTACTAATTCGAAAGTAAATTTTGACTAAAGTAAATTTTAGTGATAAATTAGTAGAAATTATTATTTATTCGTAAAATTTACTAATTCAAAAGCAAAAAGTCAATATTTAATAAAAAATTGTATAATTTACTTTTTATTTGCAATTATATTAATTAAAATTAAATTAAATTAATTAAAAAAGCAAAAAGTCAATATTTAATAAAAAATTGTATAATTTATTTTTTATTTGCAATTAATTTTTTTTTTGAAATGTTTTTTAATTATTATTTTTATTATTATTGTTTTTTCAATTATTTTATTTAACATTGCAGTTGATATTTGGTCGGTGGGTTGTATAATGGCTGAACTTTTAACAGGAAGGACACTGTTTCCTGGAACAGATCGTATCCTTTCTATATAAAGAAGAAAAAAAGAAAAAAAATAATAATATACATTATTTATTAGATGCAAAATTTTAATATTAGCATTGTTTTAATTAATATTATAGTGGCTGTTTACGCAAAACATTTTAGCAATCATTTGCCAATTGACCGCATATCGCATTTATTTTTGAAAAAAAAATTTCTCATTGTCATAGATATGTAGAAACATCATAAATTAACAAAATTGCTTTTTGCTAAGGCTCTGCTAAATATTACACATAAATTTAGTAAAAGAAATTTTCATTTTATGCTTTTGCATCTGCTTTTCTCATATAATATCTTTTACTATTATATTTTAATTATTTAGATATTTATTTTTCATAGAAAACAATTCTTTAATATAGTAATTATAATTACATTTCTAATTATTTATTTATTAAATTTTTATTTAATATTTTTATTATTTTTATTATTTTTTATTTATTTAATTTTTATTTATGATAAATATGTGACTTAATATGTTAATTTTGATAATGATATTAATATATTAAGGGGGTGCCAAAGTTTATTTGATTTTTCCTTTGAAGCTCTTTGTAAAAATTGGATGGACTTTGACACTATCTTAATATTAATATGTAACTCTAATATATATATTAATTATTATTCTTAATTAATAATAATTAATTAATAGAGAATAAAAAATTAATTTTTTTTGAGTTTTATTTATAATTTAAATAATAAAATATTAATAATAAATAAAAATCCGTTTACTTATTTAAAGAGATAAATGAATTAGAGAAAAGTTCATAAATTATAATAGATTTAATGAGATTCATATTGGAGAAAAAAAAACAATTTTTTGTAGAACCTTAGCAAAAGCAGATATTCATCAATTGAATCTCATAATGGAAATTTTGGGCACTCCACGAGACGAGTTTATGCAGAAAATTTCATCTGAGTCTGTAAGTATTTTGTTATTGTCGAATTGAGATCATCGTAAAATTAACAACTAAAAAAAGTATCAAAAAATAATTTTCCATTCCTTTTAATTTTATTTTTAACATGATATCACATTTTGCTTTTATAATTGTGCATTTTTAGAATATATAATTAGGGGTCGTTCACAAACTACGTCACGCTCATGGTGAAGAATAATAAATAATAATAATAATAATAAATAATAATAATAATAAATAATAATAAATAATAATAATAATAAATAATAATAAATAATAATAATAATAATAATAAAATATTTTCTAACAAAATTAAATTTTAAGGAAATATAAAAATATATTAATTTGAAATTCAACAAAAAATATTTTTTAACAAAATTCAAATTTTAAGGAAATATAAAAAAAATTGTCATTCATTATTTGAACGTTCGAATCTTGATGGACGTGAAAAAAATTATTAAGGAGAAGGGGTTAAAAATTAGTCCGCAAAAAATCGTGATATCGTTTGTGAACGATCCCTTATTATTTTTTGTGTGCTTTTTGCCTCTACACTTGATTTTAATAAAATGTTGTAATTCGTTTTAATTTTCCTCCAAATGCATGGTTTTTCATTAATATTGTCGAAAATATTTAAAAAAAAAAAAGTTAAGAATGTTGTGTACCTTTGCTCCGCTTTTAATTTACCTTAACGCTAAGCAGACATTGACCATTTAACACGTGTTCTCGTGCTCTGTGGAACTCCCACAGAAGAAACTTTAAGCAAAGTTACCAGCCAAGAGGTAAAAATTTCCAAATTATTACAATAGAAACAAAATAAAAAAAAAAATTAATAAAAAAAAATTACTAACTTACATTGATTTGAAAAATTATTATCATATTTTTACTCTAAATTATTTTTCAAAAAACTATCATCATATTTTTACTCTAAATTATTTTTCAAAAAATTATTATCATATTTTAACTCTAAATTATTTTTCAAAAAATTATTATCATATTTTTACTCTAAATTATTTTTCAAAAAAGATTTTTTTTTTCATGTCTCTCAAGAACGTTCAAATAAACGACAATTTTTTTCTTTTTTCGTTAAAATTTGACTTTTTTGTTAAAAAATATATTGTTATTAATTTAGAAAATTAATTTCTTCATACGAATATTAATTTATTTTACTTTTAATTTTATTCTAGTAATTTTTAAAAATATTTACATAGAAAAAAATATTCGTTAATTTGAACTAGGAAAATTTTTTTTTAAGATAAAGTGAATTATAATTTTATTCTTAAAAAATAAAGTGCTAATCACTTTTTGTGTGAACTGTAAAAAAATTAGTTTAGGTAAAGATTATAATAATTAATATTTTTTCAATTGCTGTAATTATATATGTAACTTAGTAAAATTTACCATTCTCGAAAATATTTATTCTCATTTGGACTCATTTTTTTAATTATAGATTGTGATTCATGTTTTTCGTATAAGAAGTTTGAATTTTTATTGCCAATAATAATGATAATATGAATATTATTATTATTGTTATTTATAATTATTTTCAAAACTAAAAATACAATTTAGAGAATACAACTTTTATTTTAATTATTGTAACGTAGTTTAGTAAAATTTCTCGTTGGAAAATAGAAATTAAAAATTTTTCCTATTTTATTATTATTTTAATTATTATTTATAAATATATTATAAAGCTAAAAATACAATTCAGAAAGTGGAAATTAATTTTATTTTGCAAAGAAGTGTTTTTTTTTATTATTTGTATAATTTTGAAATCGATCAGTTTATTTACAAGTTTAAAATGGAGAAAAGAAAATTTGCATATTTAATATTTTTAAATAGAAACGTGATTCATGTGTTTGTGTGCATCTGTTTGTAAAATTAAAAATAACAATTTTTTCGAGAAAAAGTGACTTTAAATGTTTAAAAACAATTATTGTTTATAGTCGTTATTTCTATTTCTTGTTATTTATATCGAAATTTAATTATATTTTTTAATTATAATTTTGATTTGTTGTAATATTATCTAAAAAAAGAAAGAGTAAACATAATTTTTTAATTTTAATTGTTTATCTTGAAAATTTGCATCTTTTCGAATTTGAGAGTTTCTCTTCAATTTTGGAATCTTTCCAAATAATTTACGAGCTGTTAAATTGTAAAACAACTCCTCGATATTCAAACTTCTTTAAAAATCATAAAACATTAACATTTGTTTTTCATTACTTTTCTAAATTCACGATTCAATTAATTAATTAATTGATCAATTGATTAATTGATTAATTAAGAAAAATAATTTTAAAATAGTTTTTTAATCAATTAGCTAAGAATAATAAATTAATAATTGAGAAAAATAATTTTAAAATAGTTTTTTAATTAATTAGCTAAGAATAATATATTAATAATTAAGAAAAATAGTTTTTCTATTATTTACTATAACTAATATTGTAAAAATTCAACCTTCTTTTTTCATTTAGAAAAATCATTAAAAAATTAAAGAATGGAACTGCATGTTATTTGTGTTTGTCTTGTTACAAGTTAATCAACTTCTTGTTTGTTATAATTTTTTTTCTTGCATCATTATCAAAAAATTCATTCGTAATTTTTCTACTTTTTTTTATTCCGAGTTTAATTTATGGTTAATTAGTGTATGTGTCTAAGTTTTAATTTTTTTCCAGGCGAGGAATTATATTCAAAGTTTACCACTTTTAAAAAAAAAGAATTTCAAAGATGTTTTTCGTGGTGCAAATCCTCTAGGTATGTTCTTAGTTAATTATTCATTTACAATGTTATGAATTATTCCCAAAATATTTTATTCTTTTTATATATTTCATAATTGAGGTGAGTGAATAATATTCAATTATTTAAAATTTGCATCGAATTTTTTCATTTCAATTATTTTAAATAAATAATTAAACAAATTTTATACGTAAATTAATTTTGACGATACAGTTTTTCTAAAGTCATCAAATTGAGACAAAAAACGTATCAAAACGTTGCTTCGCAACTATTTTGATACGTTTTTTGTCTCAATTTGATATCTTTGGAGAAAAAACTTTGCTTCGCAACTATTTTGATAAATTTTTTGTCTCAATTTGACATCTTCAGAAAAACTGTGGAATGAAATTAAAAATGAAATAATTTAAATTTCATTACACAATAAAAAAATGTTTTTTGTAATTTTTTTTATTTAATAGCAATTGAGTTACTAGAATTAATGTTGGAATTGGATGCTGAGAAAAGAATCACAGCCGAACAAGCTCTCGCTCATCAGTATCTTGCACAATATGCTGATCCAACAGACGAGCCGGTTTCTCTTGCTTATGATCAGAGTTTTGAAGATATGGATTTGCCTGTGGAAAAATGGAAAGGTCGATAATTTTACCGTTTAATTAATTTATTCAATTAATAATAATAATAATATTAATAATAATTTTTTTAAAAATATTTTTTAAAATATTTTTAAAAATATTTTTAATGATATATATATTTTGATTTTTTTATTACCCAATATTTTATTTATTTTTATTAATTTTTTATTTATTTTTTTCCTAGTAATAGATGTGAAGGTTTTTTGGTTTTTTAAATTGTAGTACGTTTATTTTTTTTATATAATTTTTTTAATTATTTATTTGCTTCATTTTTTATATTAATTTTCTAATTATTTATTTGCTTCATTTTTTATATTGATTTTTTAAATTATTATTTATTTGCTTCATTTTTTATGTGAATTTTATTTATTTATTTGTTATCGAAATTGCTGAATGTTATAAATTTCTTTTACAGAACTTGTTTATCACGAAGTTGTAAATTTTGTACCTCAACAATTACCAGTGCCACCAACAAGTGATACAAAATCATAGATGTACAAAAAAAGTACAAAAGTCATTGAATGTTTTACATTAAAAAAAAATTATTATTATTATTGTAAAAAGTAACGTTTAAGAAATTAATTAATATCATACTCTTTGAATTTGAATCGCAGGGAAAAGTTGAGTCACTAATTCATAATAGTAAGAATTTAGTAAGAATTTTTACTAATTTTTAGTTATTTTTTTAGTAAAAGTAAAAAGGAACTAAAAAGAAACTAAAAAGAAACTAAAACGAAACAAAAAAATAAATTAGAAGGAAAAGAAGTTTATTTTCTTTTTAGTTATAAAAACTAGTTTTTTCGAAAAACTTCTAAAAATAAAAAAAAATCGCAGTACTGAATAATAAATTATTTTAATTATGATAAATTATCCAATAAGAATTAATTAATTTAGTTTTTTATTTTTTTTTGTAATAATTGTTTTATTAATAGTAATGAATAGAAAATAATATTTTACTAAAAATTAGTGAACATTCTTACTAATTGTAAAATAATTCCTACGAATATACCGCAAGTGACTGAATTTTGATCACTAATTCAAATTTCGAGAGAAGATGATAAAGAGCATAATGCTAAAAAAACAACCACTGTACATAAGTTACCGATAAATTTTAAAAATAATGTGAAAATATGTTTCTATACATATACACAATTTATATAAATGAGCTTATATTTTCTTAAAGTGCAAAAGAATTCTATATTTTAATTACTTAAAAGTGACACATTAACAGTGTATAATATATATTTAAGTATCTTAGTTTAGGTTTTCATTAAATTTTTTTAACTTTCCTTGAAGAATATATATATTTATAATTTTTGTACTATGTACACAATTTATTGTTTATACACAGTCTTTGTTTATAAAACTTCAGGAACTAAATAGTATGTACCGAAGTACATAAGAATTATTGGAAAAGAAAAATAGAGCAGGATTTTTATATTAAAGTTAAAATATAATGCCACAAAATTTATATATTTTTTTAAAACTATTTATATATATTTTTATTGTTTTTTTTTCTCTCAATTCGTCTATTTGTTATAGTTTTCAGAGCTTGTCCAATTATTTAAATATATTTGTATATATTAAAATTGTTTTCTTAATTATTTAATTATAATTAATTTTTTTAATTGTAATTAATTATTTAATTATAATTAATTGTTTAATTATAATTAATTATTCAATTATAGTTAATTGTTTAATTATAATTAATTATTCAATTATAATTAATTGTTTAATTATAATTAATTATTCAATTGTAATTAATTATTCAATTGTAATACAATTATAAAATAGAAAATTAACATTACAAGACAAGACATCACATCATGTACCTCATTAAATAATTTATATAAAAAATAATAATTATTATTGTTACAAAAAAGAATTATAATTAATTTATTTTGGCTATAAAATACTATTATAATGTACAATAGAAACTTAAACAATATTGTAGAATTTATTAAGACACTTTTTTACATGTGCACAAATAAACTAATGAGAAAACTAAAACAAATAGTGTATAATATTTTCCGAGTATAAATAAAATGGAATTTTATGAATATAAATTTTTATTTTGTCTTTAATCGGGTTGACTTCAAGTTTAAATTTTAGAAATTCTGTAAAAATTTTTTTTACTATTTTGATATCATTTAATTTATAGTGGAAAAATTGCAGATGATTTTTTTTAATAATTTTACAATAGAATAGTATAGATATAATAATGTAATTAAATAATCTATTGAATATGCATGTAAATATTAATAATATAATATTGAATAATTTACAGAAAATACTTTGGAAAATATTAAGATTATTCCATATTTTATTGGAAGTATTTAATACTACTTGCGGTAATAATTGTTTCTTTTCGAATTACGAAGTGTTTGTCAGTAAACTATAAATAGAATAGGATGATTTAATCACCTGAAAAAGTAATTTGATTATTAATTTTATTTAATATTGTGAATCATTGTTATTTTCAAGAGAAAATTTTTATTAATACAATTTTTTACTCTTCGCACACGTTAAAAATACGTTTACGTATTTATAATTTTTGGTATTTTTTAAGTTTTAATTAAAAATATTGATAATATTATTAATATTAATACTAAAAATTTTTAGTATTTATTTTATTTTATTATTCTTAAGGGCATTTGAACCTTGATGACGTTACACTTTGTGCAAAGCATGTGTGACGTCATCAAGGTTCAAATGCCCTTAAGCATTAAAAAATAAATTAAAAATAATTTGAATATTTATTTTATTTTATTTTTAAGCATTGAAAAATAAATTAAAAATAAATTAAATATTTAATTTAATTTAATTCATTAAATAATTGAATTATTTAAATTTATTTCAGAAAAAATTAATAATTATAAAAACTAATATTAAAATTAAATACGAACTTTGACAAATGTGCTAATGGACATAATAATTACAGAAGAACCAGTCAGTTGAATGGGTCGTGAAGCACGCATTGCTATTATTTTCAGATCCATTTTTGTTTTACTTGCTAAATTAATCCAGTCAATGTGCCACATTTTATGTGAAACCGCCATACTCTAGGTAAATAATTGATTGCATTTAATTTACTAAGTATTTTAATGTTATTCATTTAATTTATTTTAATTTTATTCATCGTAATACTTAACATTGAAATAATTAATTATAAATAATAATTGATAATTATTGTATTTAATTTTATTTATTAAATTTAATTTAATTTAACGAATTTAACTAATAAAAGTTTAATTAATTAAATAAATAATTAAAAAATTGTTAAAATAATTAATTATTAATTATTAATAATAATTATTATTTCATTTAATTTTATTTAAAAATAAATTTCCTTTGTCTCATTATCCAATATGTAGTGCGCTAACCTTTTCAATTAATTTCTCTCCATATAAACTGTATATAAATATTTGAATAATAACTGCGCACATATACAGCCAAAATATTCGAGATCCTACAGTATTTGTAGATAATTGAAAAATTACGGCACATAATCCTGCCATGGAAGCAAAGAATTGGACAAAAATTACAAAACTAAATAAATCATTCAATTTTTCCCCGAGTCTGGAAATATAATTATAATTTTTTTTTATTTTTTAGCCTTGAAATAAAATTTTGAATTAATAAAATTTTTCAAAAAAAAATAAAAATAAATAATAAATAAGTAAAAAAATAATATAAACAAAAAATTAAATAAATAAATAATAAATCAATAAAAATTAACATAGATATTAAATAAAATAAACAAATAAATACAATAAATTCATTCTACTAACGCAAAAATATAATTATGATGTTTGACGCAATTTCTGATTATCTTTGATTCCAACTGATATTGAATATGTTCAGGATAATTTTTCAATTCTTTGAAAGATAATAGACTTAAACGATGTAACATTATATCTAATTGACCACCAATTTGGAGTATAATTAACATGGCAAAACATTCACTAGCTATTGTTGCCATTGCTGTCATAATTAATGCTAAAGTTTGATATAAATATGTTATGGAGAAGATTAATCTCGAATTATTGACATTGTAAGGAACCCATGTATCAAATATCAATGACACACTTCCCTTTTTTTCAAACGATGTTAAAAATAAGAAACCTGCACTTGAATTTATCATTATCTGAAAAATGATGGTATTTATCCTATATAGATATAAACGAATTTGTCACTTTTTCTTTATAATTTATTGTCACTTTTTATTAATAATTTTGTTCAGAATTAAAAATTATTGTAATTTATAAAATAGAACCATTCTCTATAAATTTAAATTAGTAAAAATGTTTACTGAATTAGTGACTGACTTTTTGCTTTTTATTAGTAAATTTTACTAATAAATACTAATTTCTACTAATTTATTAGTAAAATTAATATTTAATAGTAATTTCTACTAATTTATTAGTAAAGTTAATCTTTAATAGTAATTTCTACTAATTTATTACTAAAATTAATATTTGTAAATTTAATAATTTAATTTTTATTAATTGATTAGTAAAATTTACTAATTGAAAAGCAAAAAGTGAGTCGTTAAATTAAATTAGTAAAAAATTTTTACTAATTTAAATTTAGAGAGTTCGTGGAAAAAATATTGTCAATATAAAAAGTCAATATTAAAGTAAAAGACAAATAATTACAAAATAAAAATAAAATTAGTTTTAGAGAAAATGTAAATTGTTTAAAAAAAAATATTAATTAATTATTTACCTGCATGTTTTTGAAACATTTCGTAATATTTGCAATTCATAATAGTCCCGAGGTTGACAAATTTTATGCAAAAATAAACTATGCAACTCGACGACAGTCTTATTTTTAATTGTAAAACTGATGATTTTTATTAAAATAGCAAACGACGTGGAAAAATAGAAGAGGGTGTTCGTAAAATTATCCACATCGTCAATCATTTTTAGAAGATGTATAAAGAAGGAAAATACAAAAGTAGAATAAACAGTTAAATTAAAAGTAGTGTAAATTTTATAGAAGAAAATTTTCCATTTTTTGTCTGTCGATGCGAGTTTCCATATTCCAAAAACTCGGAGTATTGTAAATAATATTTTGCCAGTAAACATTATAATAGTAAAAGAAAAAAAATTTTGATTAAATTTCTTTCTATTGCCTCGAAGTATTTAGTCTCTCTATGCAATAAATGGAAGGGAAAAGTACGTTCCTCTTTTGTATATATCGTATGACTTTATAATGTCTCTCATCATTCTCTCTTCGAATTGCATTTTCCACCTTTAATCGACTTTATGTATAAATAATTCGTTTTCTGATGGGAATGACAGTTTCTGATACTTATTGCAGAAAGTTGTGTCTAATGAAAGGGGTGGAGAGAAATAAATTGTCAAGAGAAACAGAGACGATTTAATAATTTATTATCGTACTTTATATTCGAAGACATTTCTCGATTATTTTATTAAAATGTGTACAAGTTGGGCAATTTTATTTTGTGTCATGAGGGTAGAAATATTGAAGGACAATAATTATTGCAGTATACTAGACGAGAATGTATGCAGGGTGATGACTTACAATGTTCCTTATTTTCTCGCAACTAAGTTGGAAATTATTCGAATGCTAAAAACATTAAAAAAATATCGAAAGTGATTATTAATATTTAGTGAAAATTCGCAAATATTTGAAATTATTGAGGAAACAACCAGGGAAATTTTATATCCAAAATTATTTTGAGAACTTTTAGTTTTTAGTAGTATAAGCAT